ACTGTGACCGGGGGCCCTATGGGACTGTCCTGTTGGTCGTGAAGGCAGCACCGTTTTGTCCTTCGTCTTGGCTTGTTTCAGACCTATGCATCCCACAAAGTAAATGACCAGTGCTTATAGGCCTAACTACACCAATTGTCGCCATCACAATTCCAAGACATTGGACGTTCTAATGCAAAAGATCCTTCTTTTTACCCAGGGTTCATTCATTGATTTTAACTGTGCCTTTCAAAGTCCTTGTGCCTCTAAAACAGACTCCTATTATAAATGGGTTGGGTAGCCAAAATGGCAGGCCTCCTGGGCTAAAAGTCCTGCTGCTAAATGCTAGGTCTGTGAATGGTAAAACAGCAGTTGATCCTGGATGAACATGTGGACCTTTCTTGCGTCCCTTAAACCTGGCTGGACGAACTGGGTGTGTGTGTGTATGTGTGTGATATCTTCCAGCTTTGTTCCCCGAGTTTTGGGGTGCACCAGCAGGCTAGGCCCAGGGGCTAGGAAGGTGGAGTTGTGGTGGTCCATTCGGAATCCATCTCCTTGAACAGGTGCCCCATCTTGCAATCGCCTAGGTTTGAACATGTCTTTCTCAGAGTGGGTAACCGGGAAAGATTAGAGATTCTGTTTGTGTACTGCTCACCCCACTGTACAACAGTCTCCCTGCCTAAGCTAGCTGGGGTGGTCTTGGGGCTGGCATTGGAGTGCCATCAGCTAGTTTTGCTGGGAGACTTCATTGTTCACTCCGAGACCGCCCTGTCGGGAGTGGCTCAGGACTTTATGGCTGCCCTGTCAACCCTGGGGCTGTCCCAAATTATATCTGAACCCAGTCATGTAGCTGGACACACTTTGGACCTAGTGTTTAATGTATCTCGGCTGATGACCTTCACAGAGAGCTAGACAGGGGGACTGTGTTCCTTTTGGTTCTCCTGGACATCTCAGTGGCTTTCAATACCATCAACCATGTTATTCTTTTGAGTCGGCTCTCTGGGATGGGACTTGGGGGCAGTGCTTTGTAGTGGCTCTGCTCGTTCCTGGAGGACCGCACTCAGAAGGTGTTGCTGAGGGTGCTTGCTCCGACCCCTGGCTATTGGCTTGTGGAGTCCTGCAAGGCTCAGTTCTATCCCCCATACTATTCAACATCTACACTGGGTGAGGTCATACGGAGTTTGGTGTCATCTGTACACAAATGACACACAACTCTATTACTCATTTCCATTTCAAGACAAGACAAAGGTCCGCCTGGTGAGTTGGGAGGTCGATCAGGGTATAGGGTGGCATCCTGTGCTTGATGGGCTTTCACTCCCTCTAAGTGCACAGGTTCGCAGTTTGGAGATCCTTCTGGATTCAGCGCTGACCCTGGATCCACAGGTGTCGGCACTGGTCAGGAGGGTTTTCATATGATTAAAACTTGTGCTCCAACTGCACCCATATCTTGAAAAGCCAGATCTGGCCACTGTGGTCCATGCTTTAGTTACATCTCAGATGGATTACTGTAATGCGCTCTACTTGTTTTTGAAAATGGCTCAACTTGTTCAAGGATCAGCATTCACGCTCTTAATCGGAGCTAGTTATAGGGAAGATACCACTCCCACTGACTGTTTCTGGGCCCAGTTCAATGTGCAGGTTATTACCTACAAGCCCTAAACAGTTTGGGTCGAACCCATTTGTGTGACTGCATATCTCCTTATGAATCTGCTTGGGTCTTAAGATTGGCCGTTCACAGAGTCCCATCTCTGTCTCAGGCATGATTGGTGGGAATGAGAGAGAGGGTCTTCTCAGCAGTGGCCCCTTGCCTCTGGAACACTCTCCCCAGGGAAATTAAGCAGGCTCCTACCTTAACAAGATTTAGGAAATACTTGAAATCCTGGCTGTGGAAGCTAGCTTTTGAAAATGGTTAGGTGTTTATCATCTAATGCAGTGGTTCTCAACCTGGGTCCCCAGATGTTTTTGGCCTGCAACTCCCAGAAATTCCAGCCAGTTTACTAGCTGTTAGGATTTCTGGGAAGTTGAAGGCCAAAAACATCTGGGGACCCCAGGTTGAGAACCACTGATCTAATGGATAGAGAACTTAATTGGAACTTACATTGGACCTGACTAGGACAGTGGTGTAAGGACATTGGACCTGACTAGGACAATGCTTTAAGGCAGTGGTTCTCAACCTTCCTCATACTGTGACCCCTTAATACAATTCCGCATGTTGTGGTGACCCCCAACCATAAAATTATTTGCCTTCCTACATCATAACTGTCATTTTGCTACTGCTATCAATCGTAAATATCTGATATGCAGGATGTATTTTCATTCACTGGACCAGATTTGCCACAAATACACTATACACCCAGATTGGTGGGGTTGGGGGGAGTTGATTTTGTCATTTGGGAGTTGTAGTTGCTGGGATTTGTAGTTCACCTACAATCAAAGAGCATTCTGAACTCTACCAACAATGGAATTGAACCAAACTTGACACAGAACTCCCATGACCAACAGAAAATACTGCAAGGGTTTAGTGGGCATTGACCTTGAGTTTGCGAGTTGTAGTTCGCCTACATCCAGATAGCACTGTAAACTCAAACAATGATGGATCTGGATGAAACTTGGCACGAATACTCCATATGCCCAAATGTGAACACTGATGGAGTTTGGGGAAAATAGATCTTGATATTTTGGGAGTTGTAGTTGCTGGGATTTATAGTTCACCTGCAATCAAAGAGTGTTCTGAACCCCACCAAGGATAGAATTGGGGCCAAACTTCCCACGTAGAACCCCCATTACCAACAAAAAAATACTGTGTTTTCTGGTGGTCTTTAGTGACCCCTCTGACACTCCTTCATGACCCCTCCAGGGGTCCCGACCCCCAGGTTGAGAAGGTGTAGGTATCATTTTTATATTATTACTAGCTAAACTTGACCACGTTTTGCTGTGGCTCAGTCTGATGAGGAATGTGTTTTTTAGTAACGATTCAGCAGTATGCCTTCTGAGTCAAGTAGTGATTTGGCAGTGTAGGCTCAATTGGTCATTTTCATCTTCTATGAATTAATTTGGGAGGAAGTTATGGTTAACGCTGGGCAAAGAAATCAAAGAGCCAGCTCTGGTAAATATGTGCCTGATTTTTAAGTGTTGGCATAAAATGCTCCACTGTAATGTCAGCGCCAAATGAAGTAATTTGTTAGCAGGAATTGTAATTTTTGTTGTTTTTGGGGAATTGTTTTGAATCATCAGTCATGCCATTTAGCAAACTTTTCATTAGCTCTTTTGGCTGCCCAAGTTCAGGAAGCATCATTTTTCTGCTTGCACAGCGCATTCCCAGTGTTTTTCCTTTAAATTTACCTTTTTTGCAGTGCAGACGAAGTGTGTCAATTTTTCCGATGGGAACGTATTTACATGAGGTATTGTATTGAATATCCGGTTTGTATGAAAAAGGAATTTGGTGACATGAAGCTCGATCACTCAGATATTGTAACAGCATATGTCTTCTCTGTTGATCTAATTGTTCTTGGCGCTGCTCTTCTTCTCAATTCAACTCATAAGGCTTCCAGTCTTTCTTCCCACTGTGCTGCTGATTCTTCAGTTTCCCTTTGAGAAGTTCTGGCTCTATCACGTTTGTTTTTGTCTAAACATTATTGATCAGTGTGGTTTGGTCTCTTTTGATGTTCAGTGTTTGCGTGTCGAGAACCGCGGCCTGTGTTCGAACGTGGGCGTGGGATTTCAGATGATTAATGTATGTGGTACTTAAGAGAATAGTCTCCCTGTGTGTTCTTCAGCACCTGGTGATGAATGCTGGCAAAATTAAAAATCACAATCCCCAGTTCTATTTCCATTGCCAATAGTAACCAATTTGAGCTCTGCTTACATTTCTTTTAATGCTCAGGTGAAATGATAGCAGTACTGTGATTGGTTGATTTTTCTTAAGCTGCTATAGTGTAAGGAAAGCTATGCTATGATTGGTTGTTATTTCTTCTACTGATGTGGATTTATGATAGCTCCTCTGGGTTTGGTTGTTTTTTCTTAAACTGCTGAGGTAAATGGACAGCTAGGCTGCGATTGGTTCCTAGATCTCATTTTTCTTTCTTTTTTTTTTGGTACTGTTTAGGTAAATTGATATCTAGACTGGGTTTGGTTACTATGTGCTATGCAGATTTTTTCTGGACAATTTTCATAAGAGTGGATGCTGAGATCCTTCTCTTGACCACTTTGTCTATTCCAGGACTGCTAGTTTTACTATTAAAACGCACGCATTTTCAAACGCAATGTTGTATCATGATTTCATTCAACTATTAAAACATGTGCGTATTGAATAGCAACGTTGTGTTAAAATTTCAAGTCATTCGACCATCTACTTTTTGAGTTTTGCGTGCACAAACATACGCAGGTTGATATTTTATATATAAAGATTTAACTTACAGTTTTTGTCTTTTATGTTTACTTGAATATAACTTTAATTTTGTTATGTTGCTTATTGTCTTGCTTTCCAATTTTGATTGTTTGATGTTTCTATATATTTTATTTTGCTTATATCAATACTCAGGGACTCAGGGCGGATCACAGAACACATATATGACAAACATTCAATGCTGACTATACAGTGACAAGACAGATAACTGATAGAGGTGTGTGTGTGTGTGTGTGTATGTGTGTATATATATATATATGTATATGTATATATAGGCTTTCCTCCATCTTTTGGCTGTTGCTCCATCTCCTTGCCGAAGAGCTTTTTTTGTTCGTAAACTTTCCTCCTTTTTCTGGTTGAAACGCCATGCCTAAAATACCTTCAATGCGGTTCCTATTTATCTACTCACATGGCTGTTTTCGATCCACTAGGTGGGCAGGGAGCTGGACTGAAGGTCAGTAACTCACCCTATCCCGGCTTCAAATTGTCAACCTTTTGGTTGGCAAGATTTACTACAGATGCAGCTGGCAATTAGCCTGCTGTGCTAAAGCCGATTAATCATGTGGTTATTTTGTGTTATATGTTGTGAGCCTCCCCAAGTCCCCTTGGGGAGAGGGGTGGGGTATAAATAAAGTTCTAACAATTGTTTATTTATTTAAATTTATTTATTTATTTATTTATATCCATCCCGCCCTTCTCACCCTGGAGGGGACTCGGCAGCTTACAGCAAAGGCACTATTTGATGCCTTGAACACATATCAGCGTAAAACAACATATACATTAAAATTATATCATTAAGACATATCAATTAAAACAGTTATTTAAAATCACATAATCAGAGAACATAAGCCAGGAGCCATTCCAATTGCCATCTGTATTATTATTGTAGAGATATTCCTAACATCTTTTAGTATCAACAGGATAATACCTAAAGTAGCCTAAACAAATTCTGAGAATTTGAATTATTGACATATTCATTCTCATTTCAGGTAAAGATGCCAAATGGGTTAAGTCTGCAATGAAACCTGAGGTACGCTCTGAATCCAAATTTCCTGTGAACAATCCCAAACACCAAACAACAAGCAGTGACATTCAAGGGAGCAAGTTGAATACTTTCAGTAAGTTGTAAGAAGTAATTTTAATGTCGTCTGTGACATAAATCCTTGTCACTTGCTAGTCTTGGATTTAAACCTTCCAGGGAAAATTAAAATACGAGGTACTATATGTACTAGTCTTAAAACAGAGTCTGAATTGAATTTATATATTTAAAAATAATAATGAAATATGTGAATGTTGACTTTAGGTAAAAGCACCAGTCTGGCTGAGATGGTTATTACTGTTGCTTTATTGTATATTATTTTGATATGTTTGTATTCACCTGAGGCATTAAATGCCTGCCTTTTTTGTATGCATAAACCGCCCTGAGTCCCCTTTGGGGAGAGAGGGTGGTCTAGAAATAAAGTTTTATATTATATTATATTATATTATATTATATTATATTATATTATATTAATTATCTGAGTCCAGCTCTCTTTTGGCCAATCCCAAACAAAACTATGAAGTAGATGTGAGCAGCGCAAATACTTTGGGTAAGTTTAAACAGTAATTTTTATGTCATCTGTTATCCTACATTTGAAATCCTCGCTGTTTCATTGTCTTGTAAAGATATGCCTAACATCTTTTAATCTCAACAGGACAATAACCTAAAATAGCCTAAACATTAAAATTCTGAGAATTTGAATTGTTGCCATATTCACTCTTGTTTCAGGTAAAGATACCAAATGGATTAAGTCTGCAATGAAACCTGTGGCACCCTCTGAATCTAAATCGTCTGTGAACAACCCCAAACACAAAACAACAAGCAATGAAGTAGAAGTGAGCCGCTCAAATTCCTTGGGTAAGTTTTAAGCAGTAATTTTTATGTCATCTGTTATCCTGCATTTGAAATTCTCTGGTAACCTCAAGGCTGGACTTTTGCCGAGAATTTGAAATGTTGCCATATTGATGCTTGCTTCAGGTAAATGTACCAAATCGGAACAGCAAACTACTTCATCTTCCATGATCTGCACTGAAAATAAAAAAACAGGTAGACGTACCAAATGGGATCAGCTACCTACTTCATCTTCTGTGATCTGCACTGAAATAATGCAATGGAGCAACTTGATCCCTGTAGGTAGGTATGTAGTACACTCTTAAGAGTGACATGCTAGTACACTTATAATAGTAGTTTCTACTGAAATTCTTCTCGTTTCCTTGTCTGAAAGAGATACAGAATGTGTTGTGTAGTAGAAGGAAGGCATGCGTGTTTTGATGTTTTTTTTAACTGTATACCATCTCTTTCTGGGCTTCAGTTTCTAGGATCACTTTGAATGTGCCTGTGACCAGGACTGAATCTGAACCTGGTGGTAAAGAACAGAATGCCATCACCCACAGAACACCGGGGAGCAATTTGATTCTTTTAGGTATGTAGTCCCAAACATATATCCCAGAATCCTAGTACATATGTGATGTAAATTTTCATTGGCACTGTCTTACTTCACTTTAAGAGGTTGTACGGAGATTTCTATAGAAGGCACTATATGAATCTTCTACTTGTTGTGCAGGGTTGGTCAAACAGATCTGTTTGCGGTATATGGCAGTGACTCCTAATGGCTGAAAAAGAATGGTTGGAGAAAGACCAGGAGTGGGTTTTGTGAAGACACTTGTAAGCTTAGCGCTGATAATGATGATGTCAGTTTGTACAGAGCACACTGGTCTTGATCTTGGATTAGATTACTGTTTTCAGGAGGTAGCACTGGAATATTTTGCAAGGCCCCATAGCATCTTGGACTTTGAGGTATCATAGGGTTCTCTTTACTGTGTTTTAACTGTTGTCTCAGCTCTTGTAATATGTGTATGTTTTAATGTATGCTTTTAATGTTGCATTTAACTATGTTTTAATATATGATTTTATAGATGTATTTAACTATGTTGTACCCCGCCTCGAGCCAAAAGAAGAGGTGGGTTATAAATAAGATGATTATTATGATGATGAAATTACACATTGAGATCATGGCAAACTGATTGGTTTAGTTTGGATTCAAGTTAATCTGTCAGCCCATAGGGGTGTGCAATTCGGGTAAACACTGTTCTGTTTTTGGTGTCCCAATTTTCATGGCCTCTCCTTTCCATTTTTTTGGGAGCGTCCCGAATTCGGCTGGACAAAAATCGGTTTTTCAATTTGGAATCCAAAAGATTGGTTTTTGCTCCAGAAAGAGCTGGCGCATTGGCAGCAATGGGGAGACTTCCCAGGCTCCCCTTTCCATCATTTTTAGGGCTATCGGGATGAAAATGGCCACATTTGAAGGACACATTTACCACTGTCACCCCCCCCCCCCAAGATTCATAACATTTGGGTCATCCCCCGATTTTTTGGAAACTCCTAAAGTTTCTAGAAATAAAATCTCTAATTTTAAAAACCCCMAAAAAGGTATCTCCCCTGCCCCAGCCTTGCCCTGTAATTTCTCCTGTTACAGATAGGAGCAGCAGCAATGCATTTTTCTGAATTCCTATAGTTTATTTTTGAGTGGAGTTATTGCATTGTTTTATCCGGACAAGTGCGTAGCGTTTTTAGATTTGTTTTATATTTTATTTTATATTCAGTTTATCATTGTATCAATCATTAAGGTAGAATCCTTTAATAGAAGGAATGCGTAAACAAAGGGGACATCTATACTGTAGAATTAATGTAGTTCAACACCATTTTAACTGCCATGGCTTAATGCTGTGCTTCTGCATTTCTTAATCTCACGCTTGTCAACATACTGAAAGATGTCAACAACATGCCCCTTATAAGAAAAACACTACAGTATGATTAACTGGAAATCAGTTTTAAAAATATGTTGTGGGAAATTCAGCATTGTTTGAAAACCAGTGTTTTTGGAGAAGTAATATTATTTAAAAGGTCTTCTAAATGTCCAGCGGGAGAGAGCGGTTCCATCCCACCAGAGCAGGTTGTCTGCTTCACTGATTCAGAAGGCAAGGCAATGGCACCCTCATACACGGTAGCGGATGGCATGTCGCCATGTCGTGTATAGGTTTGGGGGCAGGGGGAGAAGGATGACTTCAGGCAGCAGTGTTCTGGCTTGCAGACAACTGGCAACTGGAGAAGATTGGGACTGTGGCTGCTTGTTGTCTCCACTTGCCCGCCCACCCACACTTTAAGTTAACCATCTCCCCAAAGACGGCTAAAGTAGCAGGTGGCCAGTCACTGTGCAACAGGTGCCTGATTGTCTTGAGGGTAGTACGAAGCTTGTCAGTCCCCACACCTAAAGGTAAACTCTCCTCAAATGGTAACAGGTGTCCAGGGAATCAGGTGAGGTAGGGAATAAACCTCTACCTGAAAATCTTGAAGACAGTCACACCATGTCTGTTCATAAAGCACCTTCCTCTTCTGTTTTGAAATGTTAACTGTGTGTGGACTGCAGAATGGAAAGTCAGAACCAATCTAGTCAGTAAGTGTACATACAGCAGACCTGTAGTTTGTGGGGATTGCAGGCACAGAATCCCTATGACAATGGAGAAACAGTCCTGACAACAGTATTGTGCACAACTTCTTTGTGTAATTCCCTCAAGACCATGATGAACTCAAACTGAAAAACTGTTGTAGGCGGGGTTTCATTGGAATGGGCCAGCAGGAACTCCATTTCCCAACCAACTATGGCCTTACAACCGACTCATTTGCTACTAGTGAGGCACCTTATTCAAAATTTATTTATTTATTTATTTAAAACTTTTATATCCCGATCTGCTCTACCTCCGTAGAGGGACGCAGACCGGCTGACAGCAAAAATTCAGTGCTAACACTAACATCTAAAATATCCTACATCAGCCTTAAAATTAACCAATACATATAGGATAAATTGAAGCAAACAAGCAAGCAAGCCCTGTATAGTAGCAGCCAAGCAGGATTTGGTTGCACAGGTTTATGAAATTTGTTTTTAATGTGCTATTTTAAATATGCCAAGAGCCCTGATTCTAGCACAAGGATATTGAGAGTATGGTTTGCATATATGTCCTTATTCCCCCACTATTTTTGCCATACTTGTGTTATTATACACATATGTTTATATAGAGCTACTATATTTTTGCACTGTTTTAATCTGACTTTACACTGGGTACAAAATTTGTCTTAAATAAACATGATTAACATATAACAAACATTGGTCTGTGAGGTTCCAAACCTGGGTCATCTGCAGGCAGTTCCTCCAGATGTAACATTGAAAAGAAAGGAAGCAGAACATATAGAAGCAACTTAATCACCGTAGGTATGTAGCACACTCTTATGATAAGCATTTCTCCGATCCTAGTGTATATATGATGGTAGTTTCTATTGGAGTTTTGGGGCATTCTTCCCTCATTTTTATCATGTTATTTGGCCATTAAGCTATGCAGTAATCCACCAAATCAAATGCAAGTTTAATCTTGATCTGTTTATTTTCTAGGTTCAGTTGACAATGATACATCATCTGAGCCTGCAGTCACGGCACGGGAATCTAGTGTAAACTACTGGGTGAATCACACAAAAGGTAAGATAAACGTCACCAGTGCAGAGGAAAGCAACTTGATTCCATTAGGTATATAGTGTAGTTTTGTTATATTTTAGTTTAAGGATTTCATGAATGGTCCCATTAGAAAATGCATAAAGATGTGGGCAAACTACAACTCCCATCATCATCTGCCATTGCCCACAAACCCCCCCCCCCCAATTATTTAAAGTTGATCGTGTTGGGCATGTGTGCCAAGTTTTTTCCAGATCCAAGTGGGGGTATATGCTAAGTTTGGTCCAAATGTAAGTCAGGGGGCTCTCTGAATGTGCAAGCCATCTTGAAAAATACATATAAACATAGATATAAACATACATATATATTTTGACTTTTATTTATATAGGTGGATGTACAGTGGAACCTCAGCTTAAGAGCATCTCAGTTTAAGAGCAGTTTGAGTTAAGAGCTGATGCTCAGCCCAGGTTTCACTTTTACATATGAGCATCATTTGAGTTAAGAGCTAGCTCCAGAGTACAGCTTCAGTGGAGCAGCCCTCGTACCTTTATGCCTTTTGCTCTTGTCCGCTTTAGGAGATTGCTGTCTGTTTTGTGGAACTTTGGGTTAGTTGATTCTGTGTTGTTTTTTATTCCTGGTATGTTTGGCTTCATGAAGAGAGGGAGGGAGAGAGAGTAAGAGAAGGAGGGAGGCTGGAATAAGTACAATAGGAAGAAAGTTATGCTCCTGCTTTTTCACTTTGTGCTTTGTGCTTCTACCATTTTAAAGTTGATCTTTCTTTCTTTTTAGTCCATATGAATGTTCATTTATACATTGTTATTTATAAAGTATATATTTATTTGAAAACACCTAACACAAATGTTAGGGGGTGGAATGGATTAATAGCATTTCAGTGTGAAACTTCAATTTGAGATAAGAGTGTTTTGAGTTAAGAGTATCACTAGATAGATAGGTATTTCCATGATTCATGTATGGAGTGCACACAAAGCACACGCTTCTGTATTGGCTCAATTGCATCCTTAGTGATTGATGAGTTTGAAGACAGTGGTCAAAAGACCATGCCATAGATAACCATCCCGTACTCTTATGGGACTCTGCTATCAGAACCCATGATGCTACCTGGAGGACTTTTGCCAAATAGTGCAGAAGAGGACCCAATGAAAGCAAATGTTCAGGCTATGTTGACTTTTATTCAGGCCTAGTAACTGCAAAATTCCGAAAATGACATTATGGGATACTTTTGCGAGAAGATACTCCAAATCCATTTCCAAATATCTTCATATCAAACACTTCCTGAAGCCATTTATAGTTCACAGACATCCCACTTGGAACTCCTGCAAAATATTAAGGCCCCTGAACAACTCCTTTTTTCCCAGCCATATGAAACAGGTGCGGTTTCTTGTCCTATCTTTTAAGACTGATGAATTAACAGTCCTTGCCACATGTCAGCTAATCTAGATTCTGTTTAGGGTTCTGTTGCCACTTTCTGGCTAGCCCGAATGCACAATTCATGATGTTTGTTGGTTAAACCAGGCAGGCCAAGTTAACAACAGCACTCCACTATCAGAGATAACACAAGCATATACTGTCACTTTAGGGGAAAAACACACAGATGTATGGGTATTTAAGCTTCTTTGCAATACCTTACAGTATATATAAAATTCATTAGGATGTTCCACTTCCATAAGAATCTCTGTGGTTCTTTAACAGGCTTTAAAAAAACTAAGCTATAAAACTATAAAAGCTAAAACTATAAAATAATAAAATGCTGCAGTAAGAAAAGGGTCCACGTGCTTAGCAGCAATCATTGGTTAGTGATAAAACAAACAAATTACAGAGGCTAGAAAACAGGCTTTTTAAAAACAGGTTATCAGATACATGAATATTACCATCTTAAACATATGTCCATTATCACTATCAGGTTCTTTCACACGTTCCATAATGTGTAACCCAGGGGTCCTCAAACTTTTTAAACAGAGGGCCAGGTCACAGTCCCTCAAACTGATGGAGGGCCGGATTATAATTTGAAAAAAAATGAATGAATTCCTATGCACACTGCACATAGCTTATTTGTAGTGCAAAAAACACTTAAAACAATACAATAATTAACATGATGAACAATTTAAGCAAATATAAACTTAATAGTATTTCAATGGGAAGTGTGGGCCTACTTTTGGCTGATGAGATAGGATTGTTGTTGTTGTTGTGTGCTTTCAAGTCATTTCAGACTTAAGTTGACCCTGAGCGAGGGCCAGGTAAATGACCTTGAGGGGCCATATTCGGCCCCCGGGCCTTAGTTTGAGGACCTCTGGTGTAACCAGTACAACAGGAGAATAACTCAGGATGCTCTTATCAGATGAGAAGAACAAATCCCATCTTAGGATACGAGAAGAAATAGAAAGCTCAGTAGTTAAGCCCCTAAAAGCTGGTTCTCCTGTGGATGTAAGCCTTCCAGAGGCAAGAACCATGAAGAGATACATACAAAGGATTACCGTATATACCCGAGTATAAGCCGACCCAAATATAAACCGAGGCACCTAAAACATTTAACCTACTGATGCCTCAATTAATGTAATTTTATTGGTATCTATTTATTTTGAAATTTACCAGTAGCTCTGCATTTCCCACCCTCGGCTTATACTTGAGCCAATACTTTTTCCCAATACGTATTGACTTGAGTACACAAGTCAATACAAATACACGAGTCAACACTTATTTGGCTCCTGACTCAGGCACTGGGAGAAAGAGGAGAGGAATAATCCAGTCTAAACTATGCCCCTCCACAGATACCCCACTCTCCCAAGATGGAAAGGAACGGAAAATACCTCAGACTTCCAAGATGGGAAGGAAAGGAAAGACCAACACACTCACAAGGCAGGACGAGAGGGATAGACCCTCAAGATCCATAAGATGGGAAAGGAAGGGAAGAAGCCTCAGGGATGGGGTCCCTAACAAACCCCTCCCTCCCCCCTTTTCCTCTCTAAGGTGTGCAGAGGCAACAAGCTTATGGGGAGAAACGGTCTAGTTCAAACGAAGATGCCTTTTCCTTCCCTCTTCTCTCCCTCACCTCCTTTCTGTTGGCTCCTCTGTCTCAGAAATTTGTCCTGTCTCCAACATAAAGCTATGGTGACCCCATTTGGTTTAAGAAGTTTTCATTTAGAAGCTTTTAGAAGGTCGCCCTGAATTGCTTTTTTTGTGGTAGCACCTGTCTAAACCAGAAGAGGGGGTGGTCCTGTGCATGGGAGAATACTCAGTCTGTTTTGCATGTTCCTACTTATCTTGAATTAGAGAAGTGACATATCTAAGGGTTAACTTTAATCTGCTGTGGAGAAAAATCTGTCTCAGTGTTCTTTTTATTTGTTTGGTTTAGATTATCACACCAGTGAGGTTCAGAAAGTTTTAAAACCACCAGAGCACTCTGAATACAAATATTATGTGGATGGTACAGATTACAGTGCTGCTTTGTCTGAACCTTCAATGCAGTCACCTGGCTCCAGTTCGGACTACTACTACTATACAAGTGGCGTAGAACAGCAGACAGATGACCACGGCGTAAAAGAGAGTAATGTTACGACTTCAGGTAGGCAGTGCAATGTTACGCTTAAAGGTGCTTCTAACACTCTTTATATGAATACAGCACCCATTTTTACTGAAAATCTTTTTACTCTTTCTGTTTGGGGAACATCATTGCTTTATTTTTAGAGGTTCTAAGGAGCTACAAATATGAGTGATAGCTGAATTCAAATTAGTTGACTTGTATATGTGTAAGAAAGTAGGAAAGTGCTGCCATCAAGGCCGTTTTGGTATGACTCCTGCACCATCTGGGCCTTGAACAACTGAGGGAATACCAAAATGCCACTGAACACTATGAAATGTCCAGTTGCGCTTTCCCAGGGGCTTTAAGTTAAGGAATTATGTATTTGGTTGAAGAAACTCAGTTTCTGTATTGAGGAATGGAGAATGGGATAGGGACTTCCCAACTCCTGGGAGTTTCACAGCCTTCCATAAAGTTTTAACTTGGGCCTATATATCTGTTACCTTCAGGTTACAGCACCCATTTGCCTGCATCTGTGACTCAACCACTTGAACCCAATGTCTGCCCCATTTATGAGAGTGCTGTGGAACCAGAAGCAAAGGATTCTGAAGTACAACAGGATACTGTGCTTACTACAGGTAGGATTGTCTTAAAGGAAATGTTTATATGCAGGTTGGAATCTTAAAACTTATCAAAGGGCAGATTATTTCCATTGTTCATTGTTTGCTTCCATTTGAAGAAGTTTTAAGGATTAAAATATCAGAAGCATAAAGTAGTACCCACAAATGCATGAAAACAGAAAAGTGACTTGAATGTGTGTTCACCTTCAGAAAAGTCCCTGAAATCTTCTGAATGGAGGTTCTACATGGGTGGTGCACGTCGTAAAAAAAAGAGTCAAGGGAACAGTTTGCTTACCTCAGGTAGGTATAATCTGAAAATAAACATCCGTGTGAACATTGTGGTGCCAGTATTTCTCTGTTGAAGTGAGGCAACCTCTGCTCAAATGTCTAGTTTACTGGAGTCATGCGTGATAGATTTTATGCAGAAGTCACCTAGCACCATTGCCAAATGTCTTTTGATGGATTTGTGTAAGCCGAGAATAGATAAGTGTTTGTTAGAATGTGAGTCTAGCATGTTGTCTGAATTTAGGCATTTCTGTTTATGATTATTATTGTTGTTATTGTTGTTCTATTTCGTACCTACCTCTCCTCATGTCTTGAGGTGGGCACACCATAGTTGAAAACATTATCAACATTATCATTATAAACATTGTGTAAAATATATAAAATCGTATTTCTATGATATAGGGGTGTGTGTGTGTGTGAATGAATACACAGAACAGTAAACATAGCGTGTGAGTTTAAAATCAATAGTTAAAGTTGACTGGGTTGGCCTGCCAGAAGAGATAGGCCTCCAATTGTGTTTTATATTATGACAGTATATTTAGCTGTTGGATCTCTACCAGCAGGTCATTTCTACCAGCAGGTCATTTCTACCAGCAGGTCATTTCTACCAGCAGGTCATTTTGTAGTTGTGGCTCTTAGGCTTGCAGCAAGTATTTTGGCTGCAGTGACACAAAAAACCCTTTAGAGACTGTTTTAGTGCTGTCTCCACTGAACTTTTTCTTGGGTGACATGTTGGTGTATTTTCTGTTTGCTTCTGCCTTTTATAATTTGGTAGTGGTTGGAATTTGAAACTTAATGGGAAGGTATGAGCCACATTATTTTTTGGATGTAAATGTAAGATGTGCATGCAAGTCCAAATTCATCTCTGTGTAGATACAAAACCTGTACATATGTATATGTTAACTGTGTAGATTGCCAGTGAAATAGGGATTTATGGTATTTTATTTGTGGCCTCTGTAACTTACAGAGGGATTCTTCATTTGAACTGAGCCACAGAACTTTCTAAGCTGAGCTTTAAAGAGAGAATCCCCCCTTGCAAAATGTAGATGTTATTCCTCATATACAGTTGTTTAGTTGGTGTTGTAGCAACAAGCCCAAATGTTCTCTTTTCCTTTTGCCACTAGAGAAAGTGAGGTTGCCCAGGTTGAACAACTATTTTATTATCACTTGTGCCTTTGTAGGCATAAACATGGATGCTTGAAGTGGAAAACACTTGTATTTATGCCCTTTTATTAATTGAGATATATATTATGATAGCAGATTGTCATTGCACTGGACATAGATTTCAAGAATAAGCTAATTAGATTTCAAGAATAAACCAAGTAGATGGAGCTTAATTATTCTTACTATGTTTCATTTAGTGGACCCACCAGATCTTGCAAGCGTGGAAAGGTGTAATTCCAGAAAACAAGAATCAATCTCTAGATATTTGTTAATGGTATCAGAACTCCCATTGGCTCAAGAGCAAATATTTGGCTTATTTGATGTCATCCCAGGATTGGAATCTTGTGAAGCTCGACCGTATCTCCAAAGTAAACGTGGTAATGCAAAATATTGAAAAGGAGTTTTTTTAAATGAAAAATTGGATTATTCATAAACTATGATTTTTTGTTCAGTTGCTTTAGTAATTGAAAGATAAATATATGAATTAGTAGAGAGATGTTGCATGTGAACAGATATGCCTCCCAAATATGCAATACTTGGTGCTTGTCTATTTGAACAGTTGAAAAGTTTTAAAGTTTCTTTTTTTAATCTGAAAGAAGAGAGTTCACTGCAGATATGTTTCAGTTAGGCTTTCCTAATATAGGGCACAACCATGATAAATCACTGTGCCTTGTATTGGAGATGAGATTACTCCATTCATGATGTAAATCCCTTGGAGCCAGTTCCCACCCACATCAGATTTTGGTACCCATGTAGATGTGCCCATAGGCGTGATATTTGTCTAAGAATGTGTATGTTGTATAGTCCATATTTGAAGCTGTTGATCATAGCAGCAGCAAAATCAGAATATGTCGAACTATGCATCTAGTCCCTACTTTGAACACAGAGGGTTTTATGTCACAGTAAGTTGTAGGGAATGAATTGCTGTTTGTACCAATTATGTCACATCAGCTGGAGTCTATAACAGGCCTGCACAACTTGCCGGCAGTAAGGGCCTGAAATTACATAGGCTAAGCCTCTTGGGTTTTTAGCACCTCACTTGACAAGTAAGGTAGAAATAATGACTGATTAGTATTGTTTTTAGGCCGCCTGGTGGTACAGTGGGTTAAACCGCTGAGCTTCTGAACTTGCTGACCAAAAGGTCAGCAGTTAAAATCCAGGGAGTGGGGTGAGCTCCTGCTGTTAGCTCTAGCTTCTGCCAACCTAGCAGTTCGAAAACACATAAGTGTGAGTAGATCAATAGGTACCCCTCCAGCGGGAAGGTAACAACGCTCCATGTAGTCATGCTGGCCACATGACCTTGGAGGTGTCTATGGACAATGCCGGCTCTTTGGCTTTGAAATTGAGATGAGCACCACCCCCCAGAGTCAGACACGACTAGATTAAATGTCAAGTGAAACCTTTACTTTTACTAGTATTGTTGTTGCGTGTGCCTTCAAGTTGTTTCAGACAGGGTGACCCTAAGGCAACCCAATCACAGAGTTTTCTTGTCAGTATTTGTTCAAAGGGGATTTACCTTTGTCTTCCTTTGAGGCTGAGAGAGTGTGACTTGCCTAGAGTCATCCAGTGGGTCTGAGGTTCAAGCCACTACACCACTCTTTCTAAATTCTGAATTCCTTCTCCTCTCTGTTTCTTACCCCCCTTTCTTTCTTCCTTTTCTCCCTCCCTCCTTCCTTCCCTTTTTTTTTTTTTTTTTACAAGGGACTTTCATTAAAGATTTCCCCTGGCCCACTTCTATTTATCACAGGACGCTGAAACTGCACTTGTGTAATGATACACGTCTCTATAGGTTACATGCCAATTTACAACTCAGAAATGGTAATGGTTTTGATTTTATAGGTGCTGAAGTGGTGTGAGATTTGATAATGGACCCAGTAGAATACAGAGCAATGGTCAAGTTCCTTTCCTTGAAATGCTGCACACCAAAGGAGACATTCAGTGAAATGAAAGAGGTTTATGGTGAGGATTCCCCATCATATGATGTAGTCAAGAACTGGCATTGTCAATGCGAATGTCGTCACATTTCGGTGCAAACAGCTCCAATTCCTGGGTGATCCCACTCTGTTGTTGATGAACACACCATCCAGCAAGTGGAGGGCACCATTTTGGGAAATCGATGTGTAATCATTTACCACCGGGCCTAAAATGTCAAGATTACTGTGGGATCCGGGGGAAAAATCACCAAGACCATCTTCGCATGCGTAAGGTATCAGCTTTCTGGGTACCCCGGCTGCTCACACCTTTCCAGAAGCAGGAATGAGTTGAATTTTGTTGGGCTCTATTAATTATGTGCCATGGAAACCAGGAGGACTTTTCAACAGACTGATAACATAGGATGAAATCTGGGTCCATCACTATGATCCTGAGACTAAAGTCCAGTCAATTCAATGGAAGCATCATGACTCACCACCTCCAAAGAAGACACTTGCCCAACTCTCGCAGGCAAAGTCATGCTCACAGTATTTTTGGGCCATCATGGAGTAGTATTGGTAGATTTTCTAGCAAAGGTTCCCATGATCACTGGGGCATACTATGCTTCACTGCTGCAGAAATTGCAGGAGGCCATCGCAACCAAGAGACGTGGCATGCTCACCAAAGGCATCTGCCTTCTGCAAGACAACGTACCAGTTCTCAACTCACATGTTGCCTAAATGGAAGCATACTCCTGTGGCTTTGTAATTCTACTGCATACCCCTTATTCACCTGACCTCGCACCATTGGACTTTGACCTCTTTCTAACAATAAGTTATTTTTAAAGGGCAAGCATTTTTCAGATCGTGAGATTTCCGAAGTTACAACATGGCTTTTGGAGGAACCTGTTGACTTCTACAAGCGAGGTGTTTACAGTTGCTTAAGAAGATGGGAGAAGTGTTTGTCCCTAGGTGGCATCTATGTGGAGAAGGACTAATAACTGTGCTAAGTTTCAGTCCACAGGAAGTGGGTCCGGGGAAATCTTTAATGAACACCTCTCCTACCTACCTACCTACCTACCTACCTACCTTTATTTATTTATTTATTTTTCCTTACTTCTCCCCTTCATTTACTTCATTTGTTGACCGCCGCTCTCAGCCCTGGGGCGACTCCCCCTTTCCCTCTTTTTCCTTCCCTCCAGCTTTCCTTCCTTTTTCTTCTTTCTTCCCACCTCCTACAAGTCCCTCAGATCTCAAGGTTGATAGGAGGGGCAATGCCTCCAGACCCTGAAAATGGATAAGAAGGGAAACCCTTTCAGACCCCCAAGATGGTTAGGAAGGGTGGAGGTGGCAGTGCATGCAAATGACAGCAAATAGGGGCAGGGGTGGCGGAGGGTGGTGGTGGGGCGGCGCTTGGTGGCATGTTGTTCTGGCCTTCCCTATAGTATAAAACTGACTGATAGATGGTCTTAGAATCTTGACACTTGATTATGGAATAGTCTTTTGGTTGTCCAACTCATTACTTGTGTTGTCCTTTTTTGAAAGTCATTTTTCAATTTTTGATGAATTGATTTCTTCCCTCCTCGCCACTCGTTGTTTCAACTGTTTCTTTTTTGTTTCATTAGATGTGTCTGTCCATTTTTATCTACCTTGAGTGGGGTAGGAACTAAGGATGTATTCCCAAAATACGAATATATAAGTAGAAATGCATAGTGCAGGTAGCAAAGCCTATATTACTGTGAAAAATCTTAAGGACACTTCTCTAAGTTGAGTGTGTTTGTGCAGATAGACATCCTGAGATTGAAAGAAATGTATTTTCTCTTGCCACATGTTGAGATAGAAAGCAATGTTGGCAGTTTCTATCACTGTTTTTTTAAAGTATTTATTTATTTATTTACTTACTTACTTTACTTTACTTATATACCGCTGTTCTCAGCCCGAAGGCGACTCACAGCGGTTCACAACAAATACAGCAAAAATTCAGTGCTACAGTATAGAAACAGTTAACAACCTAACACATTACACAATTAATAAACAGTTACTACAGTATACCCTGCTCTTCCACCTGTTGCCAAGTAAAATTGTTACATTAAGTAGAAGATAAATTATGTTTTGGTCACTTTTTTTGCGAAAGAGTTGTTTTGGTTTTTTTTGTTGAATGAGTGCTACAATGTTTGCTTTATTATTGGAGTTGTCCTGTTTTTGCTCTCAATAAGGTTTGCTCTCAATAAGCTTTGAATGATTTTATACTTATACTCATGCTTTTGCTCATTCTTAGTATATGCAATTATTAAGTACAAAAATGTTGCATCTGCTGTATATGCCAAGAAGAGACTACGTGATGTAGAATATCCTCTTGGGAATCAGCTGCATATTACTTACATTGAAGACAAAATACATGGAACAGAGTAAGTACTAAATCATACCAATGTCAAATACGGTGGTGCTGATTAACTTAAGAATCACAAGACATACTTTTTTTCTTTTTAGAAAATTGTGTGCAAATAAGTCAAGAAAACATGAAAGATATTAATTACTTTGCAAATGGTTAATATCTGGAATAAAATGGATATTTTCCTTTAAAAGAAAGAAATACAAAATGGCTCCCTTATCCATAAATTTCGTATGCATGGTTTCACTTACCCACACTCCAAAAAATATTCCCTCCTGGAAAAGTTTGTAGGCTTCTTTAGATCCTGCAGTTTAATTCCAGAATATTCTTCCAATTCTAGTATAGTCAAACTATACTTCACTATTGTCCATAGTTTCAGGAATGGGGTCTTTAAATGTATCCTTGGTGGATACAGGGGTTGTACTTTACACTCAGAAGGATTTGAGTCAGTTTTTGATCCTTCAAATCTCTACCATATGCAAGTATAAGAAATTTGTAAGGCATTATCTTTTTAATTTGCTAAAGCAGGGCTTTTTAAGCCACGAGTTCTGGCCCAAAATGGGGTCTCCTTTGCTCAGTGTTGGGATCCTGAAAAAGAGTTCTGATTGTCACCTAGTGGCTGTTGCAGACATTTACATGTATCTGATTTACAGTGTTTACACTGGACTCTACAGAAGATGCTTTAGCTGTCCTTCCTAAAAAGGAAAATCTGTCTCTTTAGGAAGCCTTGCAATTATTGGTTAATCAGTAAATGTTCGCTTTTTAAACCTGTTTTGTATACCCGGGGTTACATGAATAAATTCTCAGGCAGAAAGAGGTTGCAAGTGGAAGAATTTAAGGAACTCTGAAAGAAAGTGGAATATTGAATATTCCAAGTAACATAGCATGAGAAATGTATTCAACATGTCTGACAAAACATGGGGAAAGATTTTTACAATGTCACCTTGTTCTTTTTAAACTAGAAGAGAAATAAGTGAAATTCTGAAAGTTCTCTGTTCATAACTATGTAATAATAAACTAGCACTGCAACCAAAGTTAGGCTCTTTTTAAATTCCTTTTTGTAGGCGAGAGTTGAATATAATATGTGCTTAACTGATATGAAAGGAACTTACTAAGCACTTGAGTGCATCAGGGATCTAATTAATATTGAATATTACCCATGAATGTTGAGCTTCTCTATATAACTATAATTAAACAATGTTAGGATTTTGAAAAGTATGCATTTGTTTTAGAAATATCTTAATGTGCCTTCAGACTCCTCCAAGAAATGGCAACACAGCTGGTGACTGCACGTCTACCTTCGTTGATATGGGATAATAATTGGGCTCCTCAGCTTCTGAAGTTTGCTGTAAGTACTTTATCCACTTCTAAATAACTAAATTGCTGCTACATGTGTTAACATTATTTATGTCTTTTAAAAAACAGCATGCCATTTTTTGTATTAATTTTGTTGGTTGACTGTATTTGCCATAGGAAAATGGTTTGGTTGGCTGGCGTGTTTACATTGGGAAATCTAATTGTTATGTTGGATTTCACTCATCCTTGGTTTATTCAGTTTTCTCATATTCTCTTTTGGCACTTTCATTGGAATAGTAAAGGACTATGGGAAATATGAGCATGCCCATAAAGTATGTAGTAGAAAAGCTGGGGCCTTGCGTATGCTTCCTGGCTGCCCTGTGAAAGCCACCCATGAGATGCCAAGTGAAGGAACGTGGCCCTTTGGAGTAAGATTATCTCTGTGAACAGACAAGAGAAGAGGCTGAACAGGGAAGGCCAAGTTTCTTAGTCTGATTGTATGCATGTAAATCTACTTGCTGTTATGGACATTCATAGGTCCACAGTTTCCCGTGCGCAACCTGTTTCTGAGTTCAAAGATTTGTGGGTTGCCTTGTATACTCATGTATAAGTCTAGAAATTTTAGTCAAAAAATCAACTCCCCCAAAACAGGTCAACTTATCCACAGGTTAGTGTGAGTACTGTACCTTCACTCTTATTTTTAAAAGGAACTCTCCTTTCTAAAAGGTGAGAGCGTAGTCTGTCACTGGAAGAATAGAAAAGATGCTCTGATTCCCTCTGCTCTCTGTGCCTTTTTGAATGCCTGAGTGGGGAAATCACAGTGGTGCCCATGGGTGGGTCAGGGAACATTGCTACTTTCCTCTTTCGGTAGAACGACCCTCAATTTTTGCATGGGTCATTTCTAGATTTTGGAGCTGCCAAACCTGCCCTCGATGTCTACATGCAAATATATGGTAAATGTGATGTAGTATTCCCTGATGAGAAGCAGGATAAAGGTGTTTCAATAACAAAAATGAAGTAATAATCCAGAACTAAAACAGAAACTTTGATAGTCTAATCTCTCTAAAACCATTTACCAGAAAATAAATAAAACTACAGCCTTTTTGAGATCAAGGCAAAATGATAGATCAAGTGGTGTTGCAGTTCCTTTTAAAAGGCAAATACAAACAAGAGTGTTCTCTGCAGAAAAATATTCAACCCGTGCCTCAGTAGTAGTAGTAGTAGTAGTAGTAGTAACAGTATTTCTTACCTGCCTCTCCTCATGGCTCGAGGCAGGTTACAGAATAATTAAAACATATAAACATTGCAAAAAATACCAAAAACAGACATATTAAAATGTATTACATTAAATACATATTAAAATACACAAAACAGAGATTAAACAAAACAGAGATTAAAATTCAGGTTTTAAAACTTCCTGGATAATCTTCAAGATTATGGTGGGAAGATGGGAGACAACTTACTTGGACTCAAAAGAGTTTGTGAACAATTGTGTGGGTCTGTGAGTGCTTTAATTGGACCTGAAGGTGGGCAGAGAGCTCCAGATGTCTTTTTGTTTGTGCAAAATGGGAGGTTGTATGACTGTCAGAGGAGCACTCTGTTTCCAAGTCTCAGGTGATTTCCATTTTCTGGGCTGTTATTTGGGAACTGTGTTAGCTCCGTAGAGTTAATTTCGCTTATTATATTGGTTTTGCATTTTATGTATTTTATTTTGCTATGCTTTTGTGTTATATTGTGTTACTGTATTGTTGGGCGTGGCCTCATGTAAGCTACACTGAGTCCTCCTGGGGGAGATGGAGCGGGGTATAAATAAAGTTTTACTATATTATTATTATTAATTTTGTACCATCAAGCATTTATTTGATTATTTTTGTTGCCATTTTTATTTTTCGGGCTGAGATAAGATAAGTTTTCAAATCAAGTACTGAATTTAAAAACCAATTTGGAACAATCTGAGAATTATTTTTAAAAACTGTTATATTCTAGAGATGGGAACATGATCCAATTGGTAGCCAAGCAGCTGCATTTTTTTTATTGTTATTCTACAATTTAAAGCAGATTCCACACATGATTTAAACCGAAAGTGTTAGCTTTGGTTTCTGTCCCTTCTCTAGGAGTCTTCGATTCCTCCCCCTCGTATCCAAACAGATGCTGTGCTTCCATCATACAAAAAGAAAGCTCCTCCAGACTCTTCTATACGGGAAAAGCTTTTAATCATATTTGATCCCCGTCCCTTGCCTCAAAATGTCTTGGACAATGTATTAAGGTAAGATCTGAATGACTGAAAAAGCAAACTGGCTAAACAGTGATGTTTGATGGAAACTCGGGCAGTAAATCATCCTATCTAGCTAAGCGCTATAATGTCAGTTTATTTAAAAGAGAGAAAAATGGGTGATTGCTTTGGGACACTGCAGATATATTTAGACATTACAGGTGATTATGTTATGTCTTGAAATGTTTTAGATCCTTCTCTTTCTTAGAGCAAGGAAGTCTGCCAAAATTAATCAAAGTATTCTCAGTGTGAATAGTACGACATACTAGAAATAGCATTCCTTGTTTCAGCTTTTTTTCTGAGAGAAAAGTCTGAACAGCTGAAGAGTCTGGTATTTTAAAGATTTGCTAATATTAAGCTTTTGGGGGGATATAAACGCTTAATATTAGTAACTCTCCCATGTATTACACATGCAATAAAGCAGCATATGGTCCCATTTTATATCTTACTGTATAGTATATCTTACTGTATAGTATTTGCTCTCTGTTATTTTGTTTCAGCCGGTTTGGAAATTTTATAGCCAGTCGCCTTATCCCTGGGAAAAATGAAGTTTATGCCATGTTTGCAGAGAGAGCAAGTGCCAGTGATGCCATAGCTACGCTACATGGGAAAACTGTGAATGATGTGAAGTTGAAGGTGACACTGTCTGATCTGCCCACAGAGGACTTTTCTAAACGCCAGCGGTTATTCTGACCAGCCAGGTAAGTACCTAGGCTTTGGTGCTGCAGTGCTTCTAGATCTAGTTATGTACTGTAGTTGCTTCAGAGCTGTCCTTTATCTTTGTTAACCTTTCAAGCTACTGAAATATTCTCTTTCTCTCGGTTAATCTTCCATTGAACTACAGGAATTTAGTCCTTACCTCTAGGGCCTTGCAGTCTAAAAGCAGGCATAAGGCAAACAAAGATAGAAGCAACTTTGATGATGTTATAGAATGATTTCAGTTGTACATACTTACACATATGGGACTACAGAGTTATTTTTAAATGCTTAGTGGAAAAAAAATAGTTATGAGGTGGGACTGGAAAGAACATTGTGTCATAGAAAATAAGAATTATGTTTTGCAGGTTCACAATGTTGATATGACACTATAGCAGTGATTATTTCAAGAAGAATAAGGCTTTTCAAGCAGAGGGTGGGTCCCACAGACTGTTGGGGGCAGACTATAGTTTGAAAGAAACATGAACAAATTCCTATGCACACTACAGATGTTATTTGTAGTGCAAAATAATAATAATAAATCAGTAAAGTATTTAAAATGAAGAAGAATTTTAACCAACATAATCTATCAGTATTTCAGTGGGAAGTGTGGCCTGCTTTTGGCTGATGAGATAGTCAAGTTAATTAGGACTGTTGATATTGTTGTGTGCCTTCAGATCATTTCAGATGTAAGTCTAAAATTTAGGGTGGGGATACATAAATGATCTTAGAGGACCACATCTGGTCTGTGGGCTTGAGTTTGGGGGAGCTTGGAATAAGGCGTGACAAAATAAGAGATATAGCTATGAGTGTGTATTATTATTTCATTGAACCACAAATAATTTTGGGATCAGTGCGGTTTCATTGCTAAGCTTCTATACTGTGGTGGAAAATCCTTAATTGTTTATGAAGCTTAATGGAATAATTGGAGCAATCGTTTCAACTGTATCAGTGGTTTGTTGTGAGAATAATGGTATGCTCAACGTATTGAGCTCCTTGGAGAAAATGTAGAATGAAATGTATTTCAAATTGAAATAATTTACATTGTATTCTGTGGGCTTTGGCCTTGAAATGTATATAATTCTACTGCCAAAGACAAAGGCGTTGGTGCCTTTGAGGAGAAAAGGGATCAAATTGCGGTTTTCACCTTGGTTTGTTATCATGGTTTGGATGTTAAATAGGGGACTGTGGTTTTGCCATGACACATTTTCATCATAAACGGTGGTTAGCTGGTATGTGTGAATCTGGAATTCTTTTGTATATGTGACTTCCAAATCTCATTTTAATCTAAATATTTTTTATAATATAAATATAATTTTTACAAGTAATGTTTAGAATTTTACAATGCTGTTGATTTTGATTTATGAATGTGTTGGTAATTCAAGAAATCCTTTTTGAGAAAAGAAAATTTTTAGTGTTAACTTCTCTTCCACATTATTGTTGAATACCTTGAGAAACGATTTGTCACACGTTTGAGTAAGGTTATGTTGCAAATGTATAAAATATACCAACATGACTGGCATATCAACAGAATTACTTTGGCATTTATAGTCAACTCAACATAATTTTGAATATTCTCTAATAATTCAGCATAATTCAGCCTTACTTTCTCTGGAAACTGCCCTGTGTCCCCTCAGGGAGATAGAGCGGGTTATAAATAAAGTATTATTATTATCAACATTGTTATGAATGGTTTCAGAGATATGTGCAAAGCTTACAATTTTTCTAAGGGCTTCTGAAAAGAATCTGAAGACCTTGCACCTTCCAGAAGCTTTGGAAAACATGGCACTGAAGATATCAAGGCTTCAACTGAAAGAAGTCAAGACATATTTGCACTGCAGTGATGCCTCTAGAAGCAAGATTGTGAATTTTTGCAAGACTTACAATGAAGGAAGCTAAAACTCCTTTCAACGAGACAATACTTCTGCAGAAGATCTCTTCTGGCAACCAGTCTCCTTTCAGCTGCCTCAAATCCCAATTCTGTAGGAAACTTGCTTTGGAATTGGAAACTTGGCAATTTTGCAGTGTTTTATATATAATTGTTATGTGCCTTCAAGTTGTTTCCAGGTTATGACCACTCTACGGCCTGTCAGAGGGTTTTCTAAGAAACATTTATCCAGAGAAGGTTTGCCTTTGTGCTGAAGATGTTTTCATGAGTGAGCAGGGATTCATACCTTGCCCTCCACCTTCTTAGTCCAGAGCACAAAACATTACATCCCACCTACTATTGGATAATCCAGGCCTCTCCCTGGAGAGAGATAACTTAGGGCATTTTAAAAGCAGTTGAGGGGGTGGGATGAAAGAGGATTAATCACATTAATCTGTGCTAATTCAAGGTAGTTGAGTATGTGTGCGTGTGTGGGTATGTTTGTGTGTATAATTTCACAAAGCTGGATGAGACCACTAGGCCCATCCAGCCCAATCCCTTTCTGCCAGTTCAACCCCATTCTGACACTGGTTGGCTGTTTCGCTGTATGTCTGGTCCTGGGAACAGCATGAGGCTAGTGAAGGGCCTGGGCTTCTCTTTGTTCATTGGCCTATCCTCTGCTTGCCTTTTATGGGCCACAGAGAAGCCCTTTGCATGTTACGATTATACCAGGCCATATTTTGTGCAGGCCTGGTATAATCAGAGATTTGAATTCCTTTAACATCTTAACCAAAGATGAGAAGAAAGAAGGAATCCTTGTGTAGACCTTGTTCTAAAGAAATATCTAGAGTGTGCTTTTTCCCAAGAAATTCCTATTGCAAAACTCCACTGAACGAATAGTGATTCCACAAGAGAAGTTTGCAACAGAGATTCCTTGTGGTACTAGATGCCTTTTTTCCCACTCAAGGTGGAGTGGGTGGACTCTACCAGAGAACTGCATTTTCAGGTCAAAAGCCAATGGACAACCCTCCCTCCAAGCCAACACCCACTGCCTTGGGCTCAGAGAGAGAGAAGAAGAGGAACGCACAGCCCACGCCAGTCCCAAGCCCAGAAGCCAATTAAAGGTCCTCCATCTATCTAAACTGCCCCTGCCCTGGCCTTGGAGGGACAGAGAAAGTGGCAGTTTCTGATAGACTTAATTCACTCTCCCAGTGCCATGCCTTTTCTTTTTTGTCTTATATCTTTTTAGGTTGCATGCTTGAGGGAAGGGGTGTTTTTTTTTCTTGGTCTTTTTTCTTGTAGAGCATATACAGTTCTCTTATAAACCATGTACGATGGTGCTGCTATAAAAATAGGTGATGATGATGATGATAGTGTTCTGCTAACCTTAAGCTAGACTAAGAATGTGTGGATTCGATTTTCTACTTCCATGATTATTGGAGCTACTGGGGTTTGTTTTTGTTTTGTTTTGTTTTGGGTTTTTTTTTTTGTCATGTCAGGAGCGTCTGCAAGGACGTTGCCCAGGGGACGCCCAGATAATTTGATGTTTTTATCCTTGTGGGGGCTTCTCTCATGTCCCCGCATGAGGAGCTGGAGCTGATAGAGGGAGCTCATCCGCCTCTCCCCAGATTTGAGCCTGCGACCTGTCGGTCTTCAGTCCTGCCAGCACAGGGGTTTAACCCACTACTGGGTTAAGCTACTAGGTGCAATTATACTTCTCATAATGAATTAAGCTTGACTTATGAGCTTAATTAATTCTGTTACTGAGCTCTTAACTAAAATTGCTCTTATCTCAAAGCAATTTTCCCCATCAATCAGTTCCACTCCACACATCCCACACCACCCCAGAACCAATACAATTTCCCCCTTTGTCCTGCCCTTAAAATAGATCCTGGTTTGGGGTGGCATTTCTAAACATACTTTCTTGTCTCCAGGATACTGTTAGAACTGATTGGTATTGCCGTTGAATACAATACTATTGACTCATAAATTCACCACCACCTGCATCCCTCCCTCTTTTCCCGTCAAAGGCTGGTACTTGATGGAGGACAAGCTAGAGGCCTCACTACGGCACCTGGCGGAGGAGGAGGTCTCATGGGGCTTTGCACAGCTCTTCTTCATCAGCCACTTCACCGAAGGCCACGAGCTATGTTTGTTCCGCCTCAGCTGCACTCCTGGGATTCACCTGGCCCTTGAGTTGGTGGTTTCAAGGCAGGCACCAGCATCCGGTGGTGCTTAGCCATGCTGAGGAGACCAGGGCAGGTGAAGAGTAGCAAGGAGGCTATCCCATCCCCTGCAGAAAGGAGTCAAGCATCAAGTCAGTAATGCATGCCAGATGGTGGCTCAAGTGACTGCGCTTGAGTCCTTTTGCCTAAGCCTCGGCGGGGGAAACTATATTCTTTTTTCAGTTTTTGCATCTCTTAAAATTACTTTCCCTTTTCTTGTTCTTTTTTAGATATGTTAATAACATGTCTCTGCTCAGTGTATTTGTAAATAAATATTTCTGAAATTGTATTTTGTTCTTCTACAGAACAGAGTTCCTTCAAGATTGTTCAGTATTTTGCAGTTTTTTCCATTCCACCAAGAATTGTATCAGGGCCATTTAGTACTTTGTGCTGTTTTTCTGCAGAACAGAAAACATCAACAAAACAGCTCTGTCTGCTGAAGACCGAAAAGCCTTTTTCAATATATGGAGATAAGAAGACTATACCTTGTGTAGCTTCAAGAACTCGCAGTACATTACCATCTGTGATTCTCCACTGAATCCTTATTTTCACAAAATTTGGTTATAATGTTTACTGTGAACCATTCACCATTCTTTGTTATAATAACTGATGATCTGACATTTTGTCAAGACCCAGGCAGACCAACGGCCCGCTTAAGGGTTAACAAAAGGAGTTTAATGGCAATTAACAAGTCAAATGGCTCTCATCAGCAGAGCTTGTAAACAAAAGACCCTGAGCCTGGGGCTTGCAGGAATGTAAACAAAGCAGGAGCCCAGGCAGACTGGGCAGTAAAAAGGAAACTGAAGTAAGGCAGGCAAAACAGTTCGTGGTTAGAATGGAATACAGTCAGTTCAAAAATCACAACACAAAAAGCAGTATGAGGAACGGTCCGAAGTCCACGCAGGAGACAGGCAGAATTGAAGAATAGTCAAGACGGTCCAAGGTCAGGGCAGGAGACAAGACTCACGGTTCCAAGCCAGGCAAAGTAGTCAGCACGATCACGAAACACGATTCTGGATGCAAGGACTCAAGGCAAGAGTTAACAGCAGGATACACAGGTACACGACACTTTGAACTCTGCAACATGATAGCCCCAAAGCTACTCCTTAAATCCCATCAGAGTCGCTGGATTCGCCTCCAGGTGCATCCAGTTCCACAGGTGAACTGCGTTCCCTCCATTGTTGCCAGTCTGCACTCCGGGCTGCATCCTGAGAAGCAGTATCTGAAACCCATGAGTCTGTGAACCCTTGGAACTCCCCACTGGAAGTTGGAGCATTAATCACATCCTGAACCTCCTGGACCCTAGTCCAGTCCAGCTCTTCATCATCACTTTCAGACCCGTAGCTATCTGCTATGTCTTTAAGACGCTTGGAAATGGATTCCTCATCACTGTCTGAACTGCGTGCTACTCGCTTTACACCACGGTAATCCTCCACCTCCATCTCCTCATGAGTAAACCCCTGAAACTCTTCCTCATCACTAGATTCTAGGAACATGTCCCTAATGTGTTTCAGCTGCTGCTGAGCGTCTTCCTCTTCCAAGCCTCGTTTCCTCCTACTAGCACTAGTAGATACAGAAGGCACACGCTGAGTTACAACACATTTTGATGGAAAATTATGACATTATTTGAAGATATTAATGGCACTGTTGGTGGTTCAGATTGCTATCTAAAATAAATGGAGAGGCAGATTTCTTATGCAAGGAGTACAAATTCATGATATTCCAGTAATCTGAGAAGGAGCACAATGTTGGAAACCATTGCTTCCATGTGACAAACTTTTGACATGGTTAAATGTCTCTAAAAAGATGTATTTCTATTCTTTACAGCAATAAGAGCCATTGAGTGGTTATAGGGTGTTGGACCACCTTCCCTGCATTGCATTTTTACATAATTCTAATTTATACAAATGACTGTAATAAAGGATTTTACATGCATGTAAAACAGATTTAACAAGGTTTTATTACAGATGAGCAAGTGCCGATTGATATTTTATGGGAGCAAGAGTGCTGTAAGTTTTTATTGTGGCATTTATTTATTTATTTATTTACAGCATTTGTATACCGCTTTTCTCACTCCTGGGGGGACTCAAAGCGGTTTGACATGTCTGGATGGCTCATCTGGAAATATTGCTGAAAGAAAAACATACAGAATTGCTATCATGATGTCTGCACTGTACTTTTGAACAGATTTTGCTCATTTATTAAGAGGAACTTATCTGCATATTTTCTCTCCACAGCCATTCTTTCTGGGGATATTGCAGTTGCTTGCTTTTACAAAGCAAAATATGTTTTTCATTTGATCCCATATGATAGGGTTAGTGCCTATATCTAACAACATTAAGGACTCTTTAGAGTCAGAGTAGTGAATGTCCAGATCATAACTTCTGGCTATTTTTGCTAGTACAGTAGAGTTCCGGTTATCTGAGCGCCGTTCATCCGACACTCCATGCTAACCGACGCTATCATGTGACTGATCGGAAAAATTGCACCCTTTGATATGTGCTCATGAGAGCAGCTTTCTTTCCCATGCTGGAAGAGAAGGGGGAGGAAAGCGCATTTCCCAAGGGAAGGGAGGGAAGGGGGGGTGAATCAAAAGAGAAAGGGGTGGGAGGAAAAAAAGGGAGGGAGGAGCGGAGAAGGAAACACGATGGCCCTCCTCTCTGTGTGTTCTTGGTTCATGCAGAGCCTTGCTGTCCTGCTTTGGAGACTTATCTCCAACCCAGCCTTGTTTCCAGATTGAGATGGGGAAAGGGCTCATGGCTTGATGGAAGGAAAGGCCTTGGTGGGCAGAGGAACCCCCCTTTCTTCCTGCACACACACATTGCTCCAGATACCTCCTCTCCCACCTTCCCCCTCTCTTTTCTCCCTTCCTTTTCCTCCCCCAGGAGCACTCTCTTCTTCCTCCTCCTCCTCCCATCTTTTACCTCTGACAGCTTTGCAGCAACTTGCACTTCTGGTCTCCTCCTCCTTCTCTTCTAACCCAAACCCCCCTTGTTTAAGAGCCTATCCAGTCCATCCCCATTCTGCTAGGCTGGAAGGCACAAGCCAAGCCCTCCCAACAGAAAGCAACCCGGTTCCAGGTGAGATTCTGGAGACAGTTGACCAATATCAGTGTTTAGCAGACTTTGGTTTTCCGGTGTTGCCATTCCTCTACACTCAATATGGGATTCTAGAGATGGTTCATCTACAGTATATGAGTGTGTTCCCAACTCTGATATTCCAGGTGTTTTGGATTTCAAACATGATGTTTGGTGCTTCATTGGTAAATCATAACGTAATAGGCTTTTCCTTAATCCCTTCTTATTATCCCACTTTTTGCTTATCCAACGTTCTGCCGGCCCGTTTATGTTGGATAAGTGAGACTCTACTGTAATAATAGGACTCAAATGCCAACAATATATAGAACCCCTGTTCTAGTGCCATTAAGTAAATAGATGTCACTGCAATTGACCATTAGCTCCTTTCTGATTGCTATAGAAATAGTCCAGCCCAGAATTTTATCATACTTCAGTTTTGCATTTTTATTCTCTCCAATCTTGCTCCCTACTTTTCTTTCATTCTCTTCCTGCTTTCAGTTCTTTTGTGTTTTCTTGCCTGTTAACTATTTTCCAAGTTGTCCTGAGGTCTTTGGTACAATTGTTCTTTAGGACATGGCTTATTTTGGGGGCAAATTTCCTCCGAAATTGTGGCTTTTTAAAAGTAAAAGAGCCGTTTCTGTACTAGAGAAGCCCAATTATCATGACTAGAGTCCGTGTCTTGTATTATTACTGACATTCTAATGATTTTGGTCTGATAAATGGAGCAGTAACAAAAAAAACCCAAAAAGACACCCACCCACCCCCCCCAAATTGGAGAGCTATCAGATTGAAGAGAGTAGAAAAATGTAGGAGAGGTCTAGCTTTAACTTGTTTATTAAGGCTAACTGTATAGTTGCTAGTCTAGATTATTACCCAGTCTTAAAGTGTTCCTTTTTCCAAGGTAGCTGAGAGCTGTGTGATAATAATTGCTCCGTTCGCCTCTGCATGATTTCCAATAACAACTGAACTTTTGTAATCCTCAGGTGGTCCAACAAATAGCAAGGAGGTCTCTTAAGGTCCTCACAGAACCAATTTGTTGATAGTTTTGGTCAACCACAACCTGAATCCAACCCTTGTATTATTTGTCCCTTTTATTCTTTATTTTGAGGTCAGTCATTACCCTTGAGATCAGGGAACCCATCATTAATCTCTTCCTACTTCATTTCCTTCTTCCTCAAGAGATTCAGGGCCAACAGAGACAACTATGAGCACCACTACTGAAGAAGAAACACCCACAGGACTTCCTTTTCCACTGACATTTTGTTCTTTTGGATAAATGTAGCTACCACGTACAATGTAGCTGCAATCCAAGATAAGAACAGCTGCTCTGACCAAAAGGGTAGCCATGTAATAGATGCTCTAATGGAGCTGGCCTAAACAAGCACCTTCCCTCAGGCCCAGCATTGCAAGTGGACCTCTCATGGCTGCAGGTGGTTGAAGAGCAGCAGCAAAAGTGTTTCACCTAAAAGATGTATGTGGCTTTGGAGATACTTCTTGAACTTGCAACTTTTTATATTTGATACTGCCTATGGAGATGACACGGAAGTTCAGCAAATATAGAAGCAACAGCAAGGACTTCCACCAGGATTGCCAGATGGAATCCAAGATCTACAGAAACAGCTCTCTTAGCAGCTTCCAATGACTTAATAACATCAGGAGCAGCTCCTCTCCAAGAACGGTGGCTATGTTACACACGAATAAAAATAACACCTTTGCAGCTGTGGCACCACAACATGGACTCTCCTCCCACAGAGGTGCAACTGAAATGAAACGTTTTGACACCAGCTTGAACTATTTCTATTTGCCAAGCCATTTGAATTGGCTGCTTCATTGTTTTTATTGCTTTTGTTTTGATGACTTCTTTTGGAGTTGTGGGTTGATATCTCATTGTATTAACCCTTGCTTCTTTACTATACCCTTCTATTTGTAAAAATCAAAAGTAGTTTTAAAATATTGTAACAAAAGAGATGGATAGCTTGGGGTGGGAGTGAGTCCTGCTCAATCTTCATATTTATCTTGGAAGTTTGCTCTCCCTCATACTTTGCTGTGGAGCACAGTGCGTGAATTTGCCAACTGCCCCTTGAAGTCAGAAGGAGAGCCTTGGAGCCAATTCCCCCCCCCCCCCCAATATGGGACCTCAAGAACCAGATACAGGTAAGCAGCCCATCCTTTTTGTTGCAGGGCCAATGCCTTCTCTCCTTCACTTGGTAGTTCATTCATTATATTACTATGTGATATATGCTCATACCAGTGACAAGTGTTGGACATCTGAAATGGATATTGTTACTGGTACCATCTCTCTCCACTGTCTGTATCATTGCGTAAATATCTTTTAAGAAAATAAAGCTCTTCAGCTCTTCATATTGCCTAGTTTCCTGCCTTCATATTCTTAACAGACTAAAATGGGTCGCCTCAGTTTCGTGTCCTGGTTCTGATTGATCTATACAGCATAGCATTCATGATTCAATGTAGGAGTCTGTTACAAGATAATGAGGCTTCATGAAAATGTACACCTCAATGTAGAAGAAGTTGAATGGGTATGTTATCTAGATCTGAGAGCTAACAAATAAAAATTAATTTTAAGGAATTTATCAACGGATGTATACTCTATGTTGACACCATCAAACAGTTGCCCAAACAATTTCCCTGAGACTGTATAAACACCTAGTACAGCCATTCATCCCACAGAATTGTCAGTTTTTAGTTGGTGGATGGAGAGCTCATTAACTGTTCTACAATGAGTGAACACAATGCCATGGCATCTATGCATTTGCCTGTGCACATGTGAGAGCTAGTATAATGTTTCTGGTACTTAGAAGTGTATAGGATCATGGAGGTATATGTATCTTATCTGTGACCAAGATCCTATATATATGACTAATATCTACTAGCTTAGCCTTTCATTATTGACTCTTGAGCCTTGGCCGGATGGGAGGAGCAGCATATTAATGAAATGATAAACCAGTATTGAGAATTGGGTGTTTATCTGACCTTGAGTTCACTTGTGTGGTGATTAATTAATCACAGCACCAAATTAAGAGGGAAGGGGATTGTATTTCTGTGCATCAGCATACTTATTCATTGTCCAACAAATTGGAACTGTTTTGATACCAGCAAGATTTCAGCCAGGATTGAAAGCCCTATATAGTTTGGGTCCAGGTTACCTACAGGATCACCTTCTCCTGTACAATCTGCCCCAGACACTGAGGTCTTCTGGTAGACATCTACTTCAACCAGCCTGAACCCAATTGGTATCCATCACACAGAGGAACTTTTCATCAGCCTCCCGAAGACTGTGAAATGACCTGTCAGAAGCGTTTTGACAAGTAGAACACCTGTAGAAATTTGAGACTTAATTGAAGACTCATCTCTTCCAGCAGGCAAGCCTACTCGCTCAATTTTAAGTTGTGAATTTAATCTGTGTTTTATCAGAGGATTTTAACTTGTATTTCAAAACTGTGTATCTTGTATGTCTTTTAAGAGTGTTTTATCTCTTGTTTAATCATGTTGTATACTCCCTTGAGCCACAGGAAGAAGTGGGTAATACATTATTATTATTATTATTATTATTATTATTATTATTATTATTATTTCAGAATTTTTATTGGGATGAGGATTGATTGGGCCTTTTAACATATTTGAATGTGGGTTTTAAAAAAAACCTACCCCGATGCATTAATATTTAATTACTGATAAGTAATGAATGCTACCCTTGAACAGTATATTGCTTTAAAAAAAATGTTTCAAGGTCTGTTCAAGGAATACCTGTTTACCTTGGATGATACTACACTCCGAAAATGTTGAGGAACATTGGAACAAACTGAAGACCTCCATCATCACAGCCTATGAAGAAACTATTGGATATCAAACCAAGAAACATCAAGATTGGTTTGACGAAAATGACGAGATCCAGCAGCTAATTGACAAGAAAAGGAAAGCCTTCCAAACATGGCAGAGAGACATCAACTGTGCTGCTAAGAAAAAGATCTACGCCAGTGCAAATGCTGAGGTCTAAAGAAGGACAAGAGAACTCAAGAACATCTGGTGGACAAAGAAGACTGAAGAAATCCAACACCTGGCAGATATCCATGAAGCTCAGGGATTTTTTAAAGCCACAAAAGTCATCTATGGACTAAGAAACCATGGCATACAGCCGCTACACCAGGTGTCCTCAAACATTCAAAACTGAGGGCCAGGTCACAGTCCCTCAAACTGTTGGAGGGCCAGATTATAATTTGAAAAAAGCATGAATGAATTCCTATGCACACGGCACATATCTTATTTGTAGTGGGGAAAAAACACTTAAAACAATACAATAATTAAAACGAACAGTTTTAACAAATATAAACTTATTAGTATTTCAATGGGAAATGTGGGCCTGCTTTTGGATGATGAGATAGGGTTATTGTTGTTGTTGTTGTGTGCTTTCAAGTCGTTTCCGACTTAGGTTGACCCTGAGCGAGGGCCAGGTAAATGACCTTGGAGGGCCATATCCGGCCCTCGGGCCTTAGTTTGAGGACCCCTGCTATAGCTCGTCTGATGGAACCAAACTTCTGAAGGACAAAAAAATCAATTGCACTACGTTGGAAAAAAAACACTACCAAAGCCTCCTGATTTGCAGCTCCAATGTGGCCGAAGAGGTTCTCTCACAAATCCCGCAACAACAAACCAGGGATGAGCTTGCAGGACTGCCTAGTTTGGATGAAGTCAGTAATGCCATCAGCCAACCAAAAAATAACAAAGCCAGCGGACCTGATGGGATCCTTGCTGAATAGTTCAAAGTGGGAGGACCTGAGCTGACACAACTCCACCAGCCCATTGAAAAAGTGTAGGTGACCGAGAAAATCCCAGATTTCAAGGATGCCACCATCATCACTTTTTTTTAAAAGGACATAACAGACTGCGAAAACTATTGAGGTATCTCCCTTCAAACCTCCGTTGGGAAAATTCTTGCAAGAATCCATGCAAACCGCCTTCTGCCTCTCTCAGACCTCCTCCTAGAATCCCAGAACAGCTTCTGGCCCTCCAGAGGAACAGTGCACATGATCTTCACTGCAAGACAGCTTCAGGAAAAATGCAGGGAACAATATCAACTTCTGTACATCACATTCATTGACCTTGCAAAGGCATTAGACACAGTGAATCGCAGTGCTCTCTGGGCCATCCTTCAAAAAATCGGGTGCTCTGACAAATTGGTGAACATCGTGAGGCTCCTCCACAATGACGTGATGACAACAGTCTTGGACAGCAATGGCTCCCAAAGTGACCCATTTAAGGTGGAATCAGGTGTCAAAGAGGGATGTGTTATTGCCCCAACCTTATTTTCCATCTTCATCGCTATGATAGTTCATCTTGTTGATGGGAAGCTTCCCACCGGAGAGGAAATCATCTATCGGACAGATGGCAACCTATTTAACCTGTGCTGTAGAATTTGAAAAGGTACGAATGGAGGGCGAAAGAGAGAAATGTGCCAAGAGGAAGGTGTGTCAAGCCAACCCTGACCAGGACTGCCTTCCACCTAGAAACCGATGCCATCACTGCAGGAGAACATGCAGGTCAAGAATAGAGATCCACCTCCAGGACACTGCACTTGGAGGACAATCTTCCTTGGACAACGAGGGATCGCCTAAATCAGTAAGTAAGTACTATGGGTCAGAGTGCCACTGTGTGGTTTTGTTACTTTTATGTTTTTTTAAAAATAAATGTTTTAAATTTTGCATACTGTGTTAGGAATGCTTACCTTGAGCTTTGGTTTATATGCCGGTTAAATAATAATGAGATGGCTTGTCTTTTTCTCACTCAGCTCTTGCTTCTGACTCTCCCGTCACAGACCAGTTCAATCCAATGCTAAAAGCCACTCAAACATCGTCATAGGCTATCACTCGCAGCCGAGTATGATTGCCATCCAAGTGTAGGGTTTTGGTGGTGGGTCCGTAAGTGACTGTAGAGACTTATTCCAGATTTGCATGTTTTTCACAGTGAAGAGTTTTCCGGGTGGAAGGCAATCCTGATGGGTTGGCTTGACACACCTTCCTCTTTATATGTTTCTCCCTTTCGCCTTCCATTAGTGCCTCTTTGAATTTTACAGCACTGTTGGTGACAGCTGATCTCCAGTTAGATCACTCAAGGGCTGGGGATTCCTAGTTCGCGGTGCCTATGCCACAGTTTTTAAGGTTAGCTTTAAGCCCACATTAAAATCTCTTTTCCTGTCCCAACATTCCATTTTTCATTCTTGAGTTGAAAGTACAATAATTGCTTTGGGAGACAGTGACTGGGTGTTCGAACAACAGGGCAGACAATGTCCAGCAGAATTGATGGCCTCTGAGGTCCTTTTTCACCGGATCCTGAGCCTCACTGCAATGTTGGTGGTCTTTATTTCTTCCAGCATGCTGCCTCTCTTCTCAAGAGATTGGCAGGATTTTACAGGGGCAACGCTGATGGAATCGTTCCAGAAATTGAGATTGATGTTTTTAGATGGTCCATGCTTCACAGGCTTATAACAAGACTGGGAGGACAATAGCTTTATAAATGAGCATCTTGGTATCCCTACTCAAAACTAGAGAGGGGAACAAATGTGTGGCAGAAGAGTTCCCTGATTGCAAGCGAATATTCTGTGTTGTTCTGGCTCTCTATGCCAGGGCTTCTGCTTTTCCCACTTGTGACCCCTTTCCACCTGAGGTTTTTACATGGCCCCAGGTATATAAAACAAGAATAAAACCCAAACATTTACGAATGCTAAATCATATTTTGTAAGGCCTGCTAAACTGGCATATTTTCCTTTTTATGAAGTATAGCTGAAGAATTTGCTGGAGTCCACTGTAAGTAAACACTGCATGTTGTTACTAACAGATTGGTGTAAATACGTGCCTTTCAGAAATCTTTTACAACTGCCAAACTTTTTGTGACTCCAATTTGAGCTAAGGGGCTGGGACCCGTAGTTTAAGATACCCTGTTCTAAGCCCTAAAGTGGAAGAGTGGGGCTTTAATTCATCAGTATGGAGCACTCCAAGTCCAGCCTTTGCTACATCAAGCTAAGGTTTGGAAAGGCCTCGTATTATCCCCCAAATCCCAGAGACCTGGCTACTGTCAAGTAGTGTGGTGCCCTCGTTGCAGTTATGTCACTTAATATACAGTAATTTTTGTGTTCTTCCCAGTCTTTCCAACTCAAAGCAAACTGGCTGTGAGGCTTCCTTGGCGTGGAGTTTGGAAGGTTCTGTCATTGCCTTTCTCTAAGGCAGAGAAAGTGTGACTTGCCCAAGGTCACCCAGTGAGTTTCCAGCAGTTTTCGGACCCTGTTCTCCCAGAGCCTGAGTCCTGCATTCAAATCACTGCACCTCCCTTTTATGTGATGGAAAGAAAACTCAGGAAAAACAGGATCCGGTGGAAAAGGACCTCATAGGCTTGGAAACTCCATGAAGAAAGAGCACAAAATTTGAATCTGGAAGGGTTCTGTGGCCTCCGAGGCAGAGAAGACAACGCTGGACCCATCTCTTTCCAGTTAGCCAATATTTTCCTTGTACGTCCTGTTTAATTAGATTGTAAACCTGGAGAGGTCAGGGAAGTGTTTTGTGGTCCTTTGGCTTGTAAAGAGACATGCACAGTGATGGCACCATATAAAGACATCTGCCCTTGCTCTTTGCTACTCTGCTGCTGAATATGCATGGCCAATGTAGAACATGTCTCACCATGTTAAAACAGTGGATGTGGCTTTTAATGAGACATGCCGCATTATCACAGGATGTCTATGCCCTACACCACTGGAGAAATTACACTGTTTAGCTGGTATTGCACCACCTGATACCTGTCAGGAAGTAGCAGCCAGCAAAGAAAGGACAAAGGCATTGACATCTTCGTCCCATCCTCTGTCAGCCAGCATGCCAATGCCTTAAATCAAGAAAGAGCTTCCTGAGATCTACAGGGATACTTGCAGGAACACCTCAGCAAACAAGAGTCCAAAAGTGGCAGTTAAGAACCTGGAACCTCAATCCGTGGCTGATACCAAATGAGAGACTCCCTCCTGGGCACACAGAAGACTGGCTGACTTAGAAGGTGCTGAACAGGTGAGATGCAGAGCCAACCTTAAGAAAAGTGGAGTCCACGACATGCGAGTGTGGAGATCACCTACTACAATGGAGCCTGAGCCCTGCCACATGCACAATGGAGGACCTTCTCACAGTGACACCAGATGCACACCAAGCGGTCAAAGGAAATTTAGTATAATGCCAAGTTTTTAACTTTGTGTTTTTCATACATTATAACTGTATTCTCAATTTGCTCCTGACAGCATAAATAAATACTATATAAATAAATGATTATTGTTATCCTCTTCCTYCATCCCAACTCCTACTCGGTCAGGAAAAAGGCAAGAACACGCTTCTTTTCTTACCTTGGGTGCATCTATAAGCAAGGGCAAACTTTGGCCCTCCAGTTGTTTTGGACTTCAACTCTCACAATTGTGGGAGTTGAAGTCCAAAACAACTGGAGGGCCAAAGTTTGCCCATGCCTGATATAAACTGTAGATGGGACTTCTTTGGGTCAAGACCATAGAATCATAGAGACCATGGGCCATCCAGTCTAACCGGCTGTCAAGAAGCAGGAAAATTGCATTCAAAGCCACCCCGACAGATGRCCATACAGCCTCTGTTTAAAAGCTTCCAAAGAAGGAGCTTCACCACGCTCGGGGGCAGAGATTTCCACTGCTGAACAGCTCTCACAGTCAGGAAGTTTTTTCCTAATGTTCAGATGGAATCTCCTTTCTTGTAGTTTGAAGCCATTGTTCCGCRTCCTAGTCTCCAGCTTGCTCCCTCCTCCCAGAAGCACTTTATTAGAGTTTAAGGCTCTCTGCACATTGCACTTGCCCGGAAATCCAAATACCATCTGCCACACCTAGCACTTTTTAACTTGTACCCATCACTGGCTCGGCCCTGGTTTTTTTGTGTGTAATTGATGTATTGTTTTTTATTGCTTATGTTTTATTTTGCTTTCATTGTACTGTTATTGTTTTGCTGTTGTGTTGAGGCCTTGGCCATTGTAAGCCGCATCGAGTCCTGCAGGAGATGCTAGCGGGGTACAAATAAAGTTTAATAATAATAATAATAATAATAATAATAATAATAATAATAATATGACTTCCCCTCACATCTTGATACTTGGCCCTCATCATGTCTCCTCTCAGCCTTCTCTTGTTCAGTTCTTTAAGCCACTCCTCATAGGGCTTGTTCTCCAGACCCTTGATCGTTTTAATGTCCAGAGGAGGGCGACTAAAATGATCAAGGGTCTGGAGAACAAGCCCTACTAAGTCAAGACTGTAGAGTCCGGGGAGTTCTAGTTTCCCAGGTTCTTTAGCCTTCTCTGCCCGATAAGGCTGGGGCCTCAAACGGCAACTCCTGCGATCCATAGCATTCCCCAGATAGCAGTAAAAGTGGCTTGGAGGAGAGGCGCGCTTCTTAGCCTCCTTCCCAGGGGGCGCTGTGCGGCAAGAGCGGCAGTCGCTGAACGGCGGGGGCGGGCGAGCGGGAACTTCCGTTTCCTCGTGCGGAGGGCGTGGCCAAGAGTGGTCTCAGGTGTTGCGCGGCCTCTGGCCTTCCAGAGATGAAGGTGAGGTTGCCATCGGTGTGTTGGGAGTTCCTGGGGCCGGTCCTCTGCCTGCCAGGCTGGCCAGAGGGCCTCGGTTATATGTTTTTAGCTTTGGATAGCATAGAGAAGGGTTAACAGCCTGCGGGGGGTTTGTTTTGCTGTCTGTGTCCCTGTTCAGAAGATTTCACTTCACTTTCTGTTCTGGATTTTGAGAAATTGGTTTGTTGTGGAAACAAGGATTGGGGATACAGCTTTCCCACAGGATAACTCTTTCAGGCGTGAATTTCCCTGTCTAGAGATAGATTTCTCTCACTTCCTGTTGTCTCAACCCCGTTCTTAACTATGAGTCGTTTGTAAGTCAGGTGTTTGTAACTCAGGGACTTGCTGTAGTTCGCTTTGAATACACAGTGGGCGCTCAGTAAACCAGTGTTTCTCAATCTCGGGGTTGGGACCTCGGGGGGGGGGGTCGACAAAAACCATCAGAAAGCACAGTATTTTCTGTTGGTGATGGGGGTTCTGTGTGGGAAGTTTGGGCCAATTCTATCGTTGGTGGGGTTCAGAATGCTCTTTGATTGTGAGTGAACTATAAATCCCAGCAACTACAACTCCCAAATGTCAAAGTCTATATTTCCCAAACTCCACCAGTGTTCACATTTGGTCATGTTGAGGATTCGTGCCAAGTTTGGTCCAGATCTATCATTGTTTGAGTCCACAGCACTCTGGATGTAGGTGATCTACAACTCCCAAACTCAAGTCCAATGCCCATCAAACCCATCCAGTATTTTCTGTTGGTCATGGAAGTTCTGTGTGCCAAATATGGTTCAATTCCATTATTGGTGGAGTTCAGAATTTATTTATTTACTTCACTTTTATCCCGCCCATTTCAGCCTGAAGGCGACTCAGGGCGGCGTACAAATTGGCAACAGTTAGATGCCATATATAAATACATACATCAATCAAAAGCAATTAAATCACATCATAATACATGTTAAAAAAACCCATAAAAGGAAAAAAAACCCCAATAAAATATAAAACTTATAAAACTATGTCTTCATGTTCCATTCCTCATCCATTTACATCGTCTTAGCTGTTCCATGTTTATATTCCAATTTGAGTTTATCTGGTCATGCTGAAGTTCCAATCAAAGAATGCTCTTTGATTGTAGGTGAACTATAAATCCCAGCAACTACAACTTCCAAATGTCAAGGTCTATTCTCCCTAAACTCCACCAGTGTTCACGTTTGGGTATATTGCATATTTGTGCCAAGTTTAGTCCAGATCTATCATTGTTTGAGTCCACAGCGCTCTCTGGATGTAGGTAAACTACAACTCCCAAACTCAAGTCCACTGCCCACCAAACCCTTCCAGTATATTCTATTGGCCATGGGAGTTCTGTGTGCCAAGTTTGGTTCAATTCCATCATTGGTGGAGTTTAGAATACTCTTTGTAGGTTAACTATAAATATTTATTATTTATTATGTATTTATTTACTGTACTTTTACCCCAACCTTCTCACCCCACATGAGGACTTAGGGCGGCTCACAAACTATAGCAATAATTCAATTCCAGATTCAGATAATAACAATATCAATAGAACACAATATTATAAAGCTGTAAAAAAAACCCAAAAATCACAGCAACTACAACTCCCAAAAGACAAAATCAACCCCTACCCCCCAGTATTCAGATTTGGGCGTGTTGGGTATTTGTGTCAAATTTGGTCCAGTGAATGAAAATACACCCTGCACATCTGATATTTACATGACAATTCATAACAGTAGCAAAATTACAGTCATGGAGTAGCAATGAATATAATTTTATGATTTGGGGTCATCACAACATGAGAAACTGTATTAAGGGGTCGTGGCATTGAGAACCACTGCAGTAAACCCATGGGGATTGGTAGATGCTGGATCAATGTCGTTTCTGGTTGCTTAAGAATGACTTTAAATTAGGCCTAGCTGATACTATATCCTTGGTGATGCATCAGGTTAAACTGCTCAGCTGCTGAACTTAATGACCTAAAAGCTTGACGGTTTGAATCTGGGGAGCAGGGCGAGCTTCTGCTGTTAGCCCCAGCTCCTGCCAACCTAGTAGTTCGAAAACGTAAGTGTGAGTAGATTAATAGGTACTGCTCCAGCAGGAAGGTAACAGCGCTCCATGTAGTCATGCTGTTCACATGACTTTGGAGATGTCTCTGGATAACGCTGGTTCTTTGGCTTAGAAATGGAGATGAGCACCACCCCACCACCCCAGAGTTGGACATGACTAGACTAAATGTCAAGGGAAACCTTTACTAATACTACACCCCATACTACACCAAACCATAAACTCTGTATTGACTTGAACTCAATGTTGAAATTGAAATATAGGAAATAAAAGCAGATTTAAGACAAACTTAACTTAATGTAACACTGTTCTACTGTATTATAAAGCAGCTTCATTAAAATTAAAAGTATTGCTTCTTCACTTTTTTTGCCAGTTGCTTGAGAATTCTGGTTGTTTGAGTTCCAGTTGCTTTAGTCTACAGAAGACCTGGGAAAACTTCTACCCTCCAGGTATTTTGGATTTCAGTTCTCAGAAATCCCAGCCAGCTTACTGGTTATTAGGAATGGTTAGAGTTGAAGTCCATACACCTGGAGGGCTGAAGCTTGCGCAGGCCTGCTCTACAGTATATAGTACAGCAGAGTTCCATTCTTCCTTTTCAAATAAAAGCACACATCTCTATTTAAGGCAAAGACTATATTGAATGCTGGCGTTTAGGCAGCTTCCCTGCTAACTTCAATCAGGCTGTCTCTCTTCCTGTCTTTGTCCTCAAGAGAAAAGTCTCTATGGAGCCAGGATTCAGCATCTATTGAACCACAACTCTGGAGAACAGGGGTTGAATCTGCTCAGCTAGCTGCTCAGTATTTATTATGTTGGTAAATGTGTATTTTAGTTCTTTTATATTATGTTCTTTTATATTATATTATTTATATTATATGTATTTTAGTTCTTTTTTGTTATTTTTCATTAGTTATTATAAGTTTATATCAATAATAATGAAATTAGATCTGCTGCATCCCTCTTGACCTTTCGAAAACAAAATTCTGGCTATGGGATCCGGCCTTTGTAGATTAGGTTGACCTGACATGACGGCTTTTATGGAACTGACTGACTGCTCCTTGGACAATGACTTAAATCGGCGACTATTGATTGTTTTTATACTGTTTTATATTGTTTTATTGCTATATTGTTATTGAAATTGTATATTTATGTTTTTGGTTGTGGGCACCATGAGGAGTTAGTTTGTTAGCTGCCCCGAGTCCCTCTGCAGAGGTCGAGATATAAATGTCCAAAATAAATATATACATAAATAATAAATAATAATAAACTTTATTTATCCTGCCACCATCTCCCTGAAGGGACTCGGTGCAGCTAACATGAGGGCAAGCCCAAATAATTACAATATGACAAAATAAAATACATCCAAACAGACAATAACATCAAATAAAATGGTTAACAGTAAAAGAATAAAACAATAAAAATAATAACAATAACATAATCGAGCTGGGCCAAATGCAAAGGATAAAATTGTAAAACCCTGGATGAGATAGATAAGTGAAATGCTGTTTCTAGTGGAAGACTCAAGTGGGATAAAGAATAAGGTTAATCACCACTGAGGGATGAGATAAGTGCATCAAAAGACAAATTAGTACTGGCACGGGACACGGTATAATTTACTGTGTTGACGGATTTGTTGTTTGTTTGTTTTATTATGACATTGAATGTTTGCTGCTTTTATTGGAAAATGCCCTGAGTCCCCTCAGGGAGATAGGGCGGGTTACAAATAAAGTATTATTATTATTATTATTATTATTATTATTATTATTATTGAATCTCAGTTCAGCTATGAAAAAAACTGGGAGTTGTAGTTTGGCAGGGTACCAGCTCTCTTTGGAAGAACGTGAAAGACCTTGTAAAAACTACAGCTTCCATGATTCTATAGTGTTAAGTCATGTCAGTTAAGATAGTAGGAAACTGCATTAATTTTGCAGTATAGATACGTTTTAGAAGTGCAGAAGATATTGGCCTCATTGCTATTTCAGTGTCCCCAGGTAACTGAACCTTGCTATTGAGTTAAGATAACATCCTTTTTGGTTTATTTCATCACCATTGTTTTCAATGTAGGTGTTTATTGTATGAAAGCAGACTACTGGAAGCACCTGAAATAATGAGGTTGGACAACTTACTGTGATATGCATCCTTCACAGAAATGCTCCTGAGGGATATTTAAAGATACATGTGAGACTTCAGAAGGCAGCGTCCCAATAGCATCTTCATAGCCCATCCACAAAATGTTCGGTGAGTAAAATTTCATTTTTTGCAGCTGCATCTTAACTGTTATATCATGGTGCTTTAAATTGTATATGTGTCTATTGGTACATGCAATCTAGATACTGAATACACAGAGTTTTAAAGGCATCCCGAGCAGCCTTAGCAATACAAGAGTGCGATAAAAGTGCAACACATTATTTTCTCTTTAAAAATAGTTTACCTTCACTTTTATCAAGGTAATTAAGTAGAATTCTCTGTAGTTTTAGGTTTACCTCAGAATAATGTCAAGCTCTGTTACACTTCCTTGGATATCAGCCCCATCCCCAGATTAAAAGGCAGTGTTTTTTTTTAAAAAAACAAACAAACCTTCAGATGCTTTTTACTCATAAAATAACCTAATAGAGGATGAGAGAGTCCTTTGTTCCTCTTATGAATAGAAGTTCTAGAAATTAAAAACACAGTCTTGTTGGAGAGATATAGATGCTTCCCTTGTCACTGTATAGTGGAACTTAAGAGTGTCCCAACTTAAGAGTGTTTTGAGTTGGTTTTGTCATTTTCATCCAGTAAGTCTTTTCAAGCACTACATTTTATGACCTTGGAAATAAAAATATGTGGTGCACATTAGTCTACAAGAAAGAACAAGCCAGGGATTTGAAACATATGTTAATTTCTACCATTCTTGGCTCCAGGCCACAAAGACATTTGGGCTGAGGCTAAAGCAATGCCCCCTGGAACTTCTGAACCAAGAAAAGAGAGCAGTGAAGTACAAGGCCGTGACTTTGTTCCTTTTGGTATGTAGTAGAATTTCGGATTTATATATGGATAACAGTGAATACTATTTAAAATGGATTTTAATTTAATTTTAATCTAATGTTTTTACTTATTATGTAATTGTTGTGTTTTACTATGTTTTGTATGTGGGGGTATCGAATTGCTGCCGGCTTTAAGCAGCTCTGAGTCCTCCTCTGGGGTTTGAGAAGGGCGGGGTACAAATGTTTGAAATAAATAAATAGTACTGTTTTTAGGGAAATTTTAGCCTGCAGGTTGTGCTCTATATACATGGGTAATTTTGATGAAATCCTTACTTGCCTTGCTTATGAAGGCTAAAAGAAGATTCCGAGATCAGGGGCACGGTTTTCTGCAAGACTGAATGCAAATGAGAAGTAGGTAATGAATTTGTGATGTTAGATTTGAACATATAGACCATGTTTTGCAGGCAAAGTCACCTGACTCTAGTATACACAAATTCTATGTGGGTACTGCAAAACAGAGAACACACATCCATATAGTACAAGAGGTCAATCTCATTGGGTTGTTGTCGGTTTTTTCGGGCTATATGGCCATGTTCTAGAGGCATTTCTCCTGACGTTTCACCTGCATCTATGGCAAGCATCCTCAGAGGTAGTGAGGTCTATTGGAACTAGGAAAGTTGGTTTATATATCTGTGGAATGACCAGGGTGAGACAAAGGACTCTTGTCTGCTGGAGCTAGGTGTGAATGTTTCAACTGACCACCTTGATTAGCATATAATGGCCTGACAGTGCCTACAGCAAACTTTTGTTGAGAGGTGATTAGATGTCCTTGTTTGTTTCCTCTCTGTTGTTGTGCTGTTGTAATTTTATTTTAATACTGGTAGCCAGATTTTGTTCAATTTTCATGGTTTCCTCCTTTCTGTTGAAATTGTCCACATGCTTGTGTATTTCAGTGGCTTCTCTGTGTCTGTCATGGTGGTTGTGAGAGTGGTCCATTATTTCTGTGTTCTCAAATAATATGCTGTGTCCAGGTTGGTTCATCAGGTTCTCTGCTATGGCTGACTTCTCTGGTTGAAGTAGTCTGCAGTGCCTTTCATGTTCCTTGATTCGTGTTTGGCGCTGCTTTGGTGGTCCATATGTAGACTTGTCCATAGCTGCATGGTATACGGTATGTCATTGTTTTAGATATGTTGTAATAAAGTTTTAAATGATTATTATATGGACTTTGTTGCTGCACTTTAAGAGTTTCAGAGCGGACTGAGATATAAGGTGAAAGTAATATATGAAATTGAATTGAAAGACATATGGTAAAAATTTTGGTTCAATTGTTTGTTGGCTTCAGGTTACAGCACCACACCCGAGTTTGTAAACAAGGCACCTGAATACCATGCATACAAATACTATGACGACAGCATGGATTATAGGACCCTTATGTCTGAGCCTGTGGCCAAGTTACCTGAATCAAGTATGCATTACTCCTATACGGACCAGGAAACAGAGCACCACAGAATAGAAGAGAGCAGCATATTGACTTCAGGTAAGCTGAACATTTTAAAGCTAAACCTGGCTATGTAGGCTTTGATTCTACACCAGGGGTCCTCAAACTTTTTAAACAGAGGGCCAGGTCACAGTCCCCCAAACTGTTGGAGGGCCAGATTATAATTTGAAAAAAACATGAATGAATTCCTATGCACACTGCACATATCTCATTTGTCGTGCAAAAAAGCACTTAAAAACAATACAATATTTAAAATGAAGAACAGTTTTAACAAATATAAAATTATTAGTATTTCAATGGGAATTGTGGGTCTACTTTTGGCTGATGAGATAGAATTGTTGTTGTTGTTGTTATGTGCTTTCAAAACTAAGGCCCGGGGGCTGGATGCAGCCCTCCAAGGTCATTTACCCAGCCCTTGCTCAGGGTCAACCTAAGTCTGAAACGACTTTAAAGCACACAACAATAACAACAACAATCCTATCTCATCAGCCAAAAGTAGGCCCACGCTTCTCATTGAAATACTACTAAGTTTATACTTGTTAAAATTGTTCTTCATTTTAATTATTGTATTGTTTTTAAGTGTCTTTTCCATCTATATATATAAAAATGCTCTGTGCATAATGAGTACCTTAAAAATAAAAGAATCAATGAACGAAATCACACCAAGTTGGCAACAAAACGTGTCTCTACACAAGGAGTGACCATCACTCAGAAAATTATTATTTTGTCATTTGGGAGTTGTAGTTGCTGGGATTTATAGTTCAACTATAATCAGAGCATTCTGAACTCCACCAACAATGGAATAGAACCAAACTTGGCACACAGAACTCCCATGACCAACAGAAAATACTGGAAGGGTTTGGTGGGCATTGACCTTGAATTTTGGAATTGTAGTTCACCTCCATTCAGAAAACACTGTGGACTCAAACAATGATGGATCTGGACCAAACTTGACAGGAATACTCAATATGCCCAAATGTGAACACAGATGGAGTTTGGGGGAAATAGACCTTGACATTTGGGAGTTGTAGTTACTAGGATGTATAGTTCACCTACAATCAAAGAGCATTCCGAACCCCACCAACGATGGAATTGGGCCAAACATCCCACACAGAACCCCCATGACCAACAGAAAATACTGTGTTTTCTGGTGGTCTTTGGTGACCCTTCTGACACCCCCCTGGTGACACTCCCCCCCCCAGGGTCTAGACTTCCCAGGTTGAGAAATGCTGCCTTAAGGCCATCCAGTCCAACTCCCTTCACCAGGGCAAGTTTGAGGACCTCTGCCCTAGACAGTTCAGGTCCAGGCTATTTGGCTGACCACATCTCCTTTTACAAACCTGCCCGGGCCCTGAGATCTTCAGGAGAGGCCCTTATCTTGTTCCCACCTCCATCTCAAGCTCAGTTGGTGGGAACGAGAGAGTAGGCCTTTTTGGTGGCAGCCCCATGACTCTGGAGCTCCTGCCTTCCCAGGGAAGCCAAAATGACCCCCTCCTTGCTGTCCTTCCGGCAACAGGCTCAGCCCTTTTTATCCAGACAGGCTTTTAAATAAGGTTTTAAAAATCAAATCAGGGGGTGCTGTGGTTTTTAGTTTTAAATACATTTTAAAGTAGTTTTACGGATTTTAACTGAATGTTTGAGTATCAGTGATGTTTAATCCTGTTTTGATGTTTGTATATTTGTGGAGTTTAAGTTGAATTGGAATGCTTTTAATGTAAGCCGCTTTGAGTCTTTTATAGAGAGAAAAAGCTGGGTATAAATAAGCATAATCACCATCATAATTACAGTACTGGATATGCACAAATGAGTAAATGAAGTATCATATCAATTTCTAAATTTGGTCTTCCAAGAAAACTACTAAATCCTCTGCATACAAAGTGTATGTGGGTGATGCAAGAGAGGAAACAAGCCCTCTTAGAGTACAGGGGAAGAACTTGCTCACTATAGTTGGATAGTATAAGCTGAGTTCAAATTGTGACCTCAGTATCAATATGTCTTACAATAGAGGAGAGACCATGCCGCCACTTGAACGAATCATTAATCTAAAAACACATTGTCTGTTTCTCTTTTGAATAAAATCTGTACAGTCCAGTCATTTTTTTTTTTGGTGTTCATTGGTGTCTCTATACTATTTTCGTTTAGTGGAACCACCAGACATTGCAAGTGAGGAAAAGAGTGAAACCAGAAGCTCAGGCTCTGTTTCCAGGAGCTTATTGGTGGTATCAGAATTCCCATTTGAACAACAGCAACTAGTCAGCCTCTTAAATCTCATCCCAGGAATGGAGTATTGTGAAATGTCCCACGGTCTTTACAGTAACCGAGGTAATGTAGTAACTTCCAAGAGAAATATGGAGCATCTAATTCAGCAATGTAGAGAGAGAAAAAGATCCAGTAGAAAGATGCACAGGATTTTGCCCACAAGCATATGCAGAGAATAATTTACTTTGAGGTGACATCAATATTATATACTGTTTATATACTTTTGCAACTGCCTGTGTAGAAATGCCAGATATTTTACTCTGCTAAATTTGTTTTTAGATGATAGAGCATCTTAAGTACATGTCTTTGAAAGAAACTTGTAAGTCTTCATTTGGAAACGTTACTCCTTTGCTTCTATGTATGGAGCCCGTAGATCCAATTGATCTCTTCTAGTTTTGAATGACAATTGGAAGTGTAGCTGCCTATTTTGCTGTGTCTTTCTTCATGAACCCCTTGTCAGAATTTGGAAGGCCATATATTATGTTCTCAATTTTGTTTTTACGTGTCAAGTTTTGTATGTAAAAATATGCAATATTTATTTATTTACGACATTTATGCTGTAAATATGCTGCCCTTCTCACCCCAAATTAGTAATTGTCAAAAATAGCATCATATTTGGAACTGCCCTGTAAATTTTAGCAAGTATTTTGTTGCCAGATCAAACTTAAACTCGACTACTTAACAAGATGCTGTTTGTTCATAGTATATGCGGTGGTTCAGTACAATAATGCTGCATCAGCTATCTATGCCAAACATAAACTCCATGGTTTTGAATACCCTTTTGGAAACTGGCTGATTGTCACATTCATTGAAGAAGGAACAGTTCAAAAAAAGTAAGTACATTGTATCTTAAGGATTGTAATACTGGGGGGGGGGGGGGGAGTTGCCAAAGTTAAGTATTTGTAAATTTGATATTTGGATGGGAGATGAGTAAGTGCTTGGCAATCTTACTGAAATTCCTATTGAAACTGATTATGGCTGTATTTGGCTTATAATTATCCTTGAAAGGGGCTGCAGTGTCACAATGGGTTGAACTGCTAAGCTGCAGAACTTGCTGTTCGGAAGGATGGGATGAGCTCCCATTGTTAGTCCCAGCTTCTGCCAACCTAGCAGTTTGACAACATGCAAGTGTGAGTAGATCAATAGGTACCATTTTGGTGGGAAGGTAGCAGCGCTCCATGCAGTCATGCTGGCCACATGACCTTGGAGATGTCTACGGACAACACCAGCTCTTCAGCTTGGAAATGGAGATGAGCACCACCCCCCAGAGTTGGACTTGATTAGACTTAATGTCAAGGGGAAACGTTTACCTTTCCTTTACTATCCTTGAATATTCACCATGTGTATCAAACTTCTCTCCCTACATTTAATAGAATTGTGTTAGACTATAGAATACTGCTTTTGCTATAAAAAGATCTCAATCTGTTTTATAGCCTTATCAGATCAGCAGTGAAACGGAAGCCTTCCACGGTACGTAATAGTTCATCATTTCATCTTTAGGGGTCTGCTGTAAGTAGTTTTGATGACTTCCTTTGCAAACGTTGTAAATTCTTTAAAATGCATAATGCCACTCTCTTAACATTTATTTATGCCATGAATGAGGAAAGCTTTGGTTCTCATTGCATTTGCCCATTATCCTTTTACCTCAGCGTGCTTTGCTGCCAGAATAGTTTGATTTACCAGAGTTTACAAGTAGCATCTGTTTATCTAAATGGTTTCCAATTGGTGTCAGAAATGTTGATTCCTACACAGTAAAGTTTAGAATGAAGAAGACCAAGTTTCCAAATGTTGAGACATTGCAAAAAGCTCAGTAGCCCAACATTTGTGAACTTGGTCTTCTCCATCCTAAACTTTACTGGGATGCTTCCAGAGGCAGGCTTTTGCCACATGGTTGGCAAAAGTTTCCCCTTTTCCTCCTTCTCGTGATACCTACAGCTCCCACTAATATGCTAAAGCATGAGATTGCTGTTTATAATGTACAGCCCAAAGGATTTAAAATGAAAATGTTGACTGTGATTCCCCCTTTCCCCCCAGAGTTCTTACAGTCGTCTCCAAACAGATGCTGAGCTTCCTCCAAGCAAAAAGAAAGCTCCCTGTGACTCTCCTGTGCAGGAAAGGCTTTACATCACATTTAATCCTCACCCTTTACCTGAAGACATCTTGGAGGATATATTAAGGCAAGGCATGCTGAGATTTTGAAAAAACACAAACTTTTAAAGCTATTTTTGTGGTTGCATCTGAGTAACAAATCGTTATTTAAGGTCTAATTCTGTAAGAATGTGCTTACTTATGGGAAGGGAAATAGAGATGCTTTCTGCCATTATAAAATAGGTGTAAGCATAGTTATGACAGTAGTAACAACTTCAGGGCATCCTCTAGAATCAGTATTTTGAAGCTTAGAGCTCATACAGCTATTTACAATTAGCTATAATAAAAGCTTATCAAAATACAACAGTTTTTTCAAGAGTGTCGTAATAACATCAAGAATTAATCTGGTGACATCTCAGAGTGAGTTCCTTAAGCAGATTTTCCTTTCTCAAATGCATGGAACATCTGTTAGGCACCCAGAGATATAGGCACAAAACAAGAAACATCATACTCTTCTGTTTTTCATCTTTAATTTTATATATATATTTCTTTTCTGCTGTTTTATTTCAGCCGGTTTGGACATTTTATAAAGATTCACTTTATCCCTGGGGAAAACACAGCTTTCGCAATGTTTGCAGAGGGATCAAGCGTTATTGATGCCATAGCAGTGTTACATGGCAAGACAGTGAATGGTGTGAAATTGGAAATGAAACTTTTAGTTTCGCCTAAAGAGGACTCCAGTAAACGCCAAGGGACTTTTGGACCAAGTGAGGCAAGTATCTGGTCCCTGGCACTGCATTGGTCACAGTTCATCTTGTGAAGCTTAGTCGCTTCAAAGATATTCAAGCTACAGTAAAGGATCAAAGCTGATGTAAATTAGGAAATGAATCCGATCCTTTCAGAAGCAAAGATGGTGTAGACTCCCATCTGAATTATGTTCCCACTGGAAGGCATGAGAGTCAGACTAGAAGGATAAAAGTCATTTTTTTTTGCTCTAAGAAGACATTATCTGTGGGATCAGTCAAAAGAAAGGGGGGAGGAGTATGCCAACAAAAAGGCAGTTCAGCCAGCCTCCCCTTTGGCTTGCTTCCATTTCCTCCCTTTGGCCTCCCAATTTCTTCTTCAGATCATCTTCATTTCCCTTGCGAGAAGTCCAGTGCTAAAAGCTCCTTTTCTCTACAGTGGGATGATGAAAAGGGTTCATCTCCAGTTGGTACAGGCCAGAGATTAGCTCTTGCCTGTATTCAGAGCTCTTTAAAAAAAGGAGGGGTGCTTTAACCAATTAGTTGCAAGTGAATGGAAAGTAAGTATGTGTGAATAAATAAAGTTGTAGATGTCTTTGCAATTATATGCTACGATGCAGGTGGGTGGGAATGAATGGTCTGTAAAGCCTTGGAGTTTATATTTGTCAAAATGTTTACATTCTGAATATCTTAGGATAATGTCAGATCATTTTTTTAAAATCAAAATAGAATTTGGACTCCAGTGGCCAAAAGCCAAACTAATTTATGCTGGGATGAACAGCCACTCAAACTACACAGTTATCTCTAAATGCAATGTATGTACATGGGATGAACAGCCAAGCTTTGATGTTATGCTATGTCAATATTGATTACGTGGAAACCCCTTTGAGTCTACAAATGAGGTACTATGTCCAAGGGGCATTGGCTTCCATACTGCCCACTGTAGCAGTCTTACACCACATATTACTAGTGTGCAAGCTGCTGTTGCTAGGTTAGTTTCATCCAATAAGAACTACAGCTTGAAAAAGTGTATGAAAAACCACTTGGGATTTAGTAGTCAAAGAGAGGAGTACTCATAAGCGACATACTTGCATTTTCAGGGGGAGTTCAACCCTATCCAGATCAAGTCACTTCCCTTATTGTAGAGTTAGGAACCACCAATCCAAAGCCTGTTTTTGATGTTCCAACTCAGTTCATAGGCCCTCATTCAATGCGCTACAATGTCACAGACCTGGGTGTCACCAACATACTGATGGAATGGGCACAAAAAAACTAATGGTGACTTTGATCCATGGCTTCATAAAAATATAAAAAGCATAAAGCAGGAGTGGGGCAACAATCAATTCCTCATTGTTTTCTTATTTTCCAGTCATTTTAAAACAGCACAAGGAAACCAGCATGTGGCGGAATAGCTTGGTAACCATGAGACTAAACAGAAGTCAGTGAATGCCACAGGAGACCATTCTTTCAGGTTCCATCTCTGCTTCCTTCAGAGAATTGCCTGGCCCTATTGACTAGAAAAGGACAGAACTAGGACCTCACTCCAGGGAGAGCAGTTGCCAGCAGCATCTGCAGAAGAGAGATTTTTCCCATGTGTATGATTGAGACTGACCAGAGGAGCATGTCATGAGGTGGGAATTGCTGGGGAGAGGTCAAAGTGTACTTCCTTCAAGCAAGGCTTCTCCTGTGGCTGGCATGGAAAGAACGATGCTGTGACCCAACTCCAGGAAGGACAGCCAAGAGTTGTGTCATACTAAGAGGTAATGCCACCAACCTCTCCTGTTTTGAAACATCAGAAATGGCCAGATGTGGCAACATGGCACGCAGCAAAATATATCTGCTAAAGCAGGCCCAGTGTTTGTGGACAAATCTACCACAATGAAATCTGATTGCTTAGGGGTTTTCCCCCTTGAAATTGCATTAAGCTATTTCAAGGAATAGTTCCATTTGCAGTGTTAACACATGAAGCTGTTTTCTCTGTTTCTGAAGAGGAAAAAAAGATTAAAAAAATAATTGCCGGACTACATTGTGTGTTGGGTTATATTCTGGAATAATACCACTGCAGTTTTGAAGGCCGGATTTATTAAGTACTGTAATTAGAAATGTGAATAAAATGAATGCTTTCTGGTATTGTTTCCTAGATTTGCTTTTCTTCTCTCCTGATACTCTTTTCCTTTTTGTATTGTCTTCTAGGTCATAAATCAGACAGAAGGGCTGCACTTGTGTTTTGTTTTTTAAATTATTTGTTTCAGATGTATAAATGCTGCACACACTGAAGTATTCAGGTGGGGTAATGGTGGTGAGAAATGAACTGGCTAGTCTTGGTCAGCATGTGCTAAAATGCACACAAAGTGGTTGGTAAACTCATTTATGATCAGCATTAATAATAAGCTTTATTTATACCCCGTCCCCTCTTCCTGAAGGGACTCGGGGCAGCATTGTCAAAGATTTGTTAGACACTCACTGCCACGTGTAGTATAGGTGGATGTGCATGGTATTTTCAGAAGCAGAGTTGTTGTTTTTGTGTTCTGGAAGGGTGGAAATCTGAAAATATGTCTTATCAAAGCCCAGAAATACTTTATACTCTTAACCAGTACATGAATTGTAAAAGCCATCCCTGACAGCTTAGAACCCCTGCAGTTGATATCCAGAGAAGAATGGATCATTATTAAACTCTATAGATTCTCCTGAGTGCTGATTATTATTATTGTTGCTCTTCATTTATATCCCACCTTTCTCCCCATAAATGGCGTGTATCACCATATTTCAAACAATACAGGCTAAAAAAAAACTATACAAAAAGTATAAATAAAAAAGGAGAGCTGCCTATAAGGACTTAGCAAGGCGGATTCAACCTGCGGGCCACAAGTACCATCCATATCTCTTAAATAACTGCTTTGAGTCTCCTTGTGGAGAGAAATAGTGGAATGTAAATAAACATAACAAGAACAAATAGCATCTGAACATTCAGGCCCTCTTTGAAATAGAAGGATGACTATTTGAGCCCCAAATTCAGGGATGGCAAACCTTGCAAATTCTTGCCCCCAAAACCTAACATTTCTAGGATGATACAAGCGAAGAATGGCCAAAAACCCTTTCCAGAAACACAGGAAGAAAAAAGGAAAAAGATGGAAAAACAGAAAAAAGACATTTTCCCCACCTGGGTCATTGATCAGCATCTCCGATGCTTATACTTTACAGAAAAAACAGTGTTTGTTGTTTTGTCCGCATCATTTGCTAAAAATGTAGTGAGTCTTAGTAGTCTTACATTGCTAAGGAAAGGCAAAAGTTAACTACTTCGTTCCTAGGATGATGGCGAGCCTTTTAAAATAAATACAATAATAATAGTTATAATAATAATAATAATAATAATATTCAAGTTATGTGATCAGGGCAAGCTTTGGATATTAATAATACTCAAGATATCCAGTGTGGACAAACTTTGGGTGGTGATGATAATAATAAGTGTTATCCAATGCAGATAAACTTTAGATAATAAGTATTCAAGTTATCCAATGTGGACAAACTATGGATGTTGTTGATGATAATCAAACAGTCAAATGTGGACAAACTGGATATTAAAATTCTTCAAGCTATCCAATGTGTGCAAACTTTGTATTTAAATAAATGTAAAAATAGTAGTAGTAGTAATAATAATAATACTAATAATAATGCTATCAGAGAAGGACTTTTTTTAACCAAAGCCCCGGAGACTAGAACACCATACTTGTTCCATATTACTTTTCTTCTTCCTTCTTCTTCTCTTCTTCTTCTCCCTTCCTCCTCCTCCTGTTTATTTATATCCTGCTTTTTCTCTCCATATGGAGACTCAAAGGAGTTCATATCTGCATAAACCAATCCTGTTTCCCATTTTGGATAAGCCAGCCCTAAAGCACAGAAATATTTATTTGTATTTATAAGGGAAAAAATATTCCCCTTCTCTTTTTTCCATGCCACAATTACTTGAAATAAAAGGCTAGGCAAATGAAAATTTCACAGCAAACTCAATGCAGAAGGAACTCGTTTTTGATGGCTACTAAGCATCTAGAGATTTTGGCTCTAAACTGAATATTGTTTCAACAAAGTCATTTCCCCAGCTTCGGCAATGAGACAAAAAAACATGAGAAAAGGACGACACCGACCCCACCCCCCCAAAAAAAAAAAGGAAAGCAAGGCAAATCAGATGCAATCTAATCTCCTTTGCAGGTGTTTTGTTCAAACCACAACTCTTCCATCCAGTGAAGTAAGCTTTTAGGGCCAAGGATGGTTTCACTCAAAGATCTAAAGAAACCTTGCCCCTTTTGAAGGAAATCTGCAATTTATGCCAAAAGGTTTAATTCTCATAAAAGAGAGGAGGGAGAAAGAAAGGTAAAAAGAAGAGTCCCAAGGAGAGGGCTCAGGCCGGCGGCTGAGTGAGTCCACGCCTCTTGAGGTGCCGCTTGACCTTCAGCTTCCCAGCACCCGAAATGGCGAAGTTGTAGCCGGACGTGACATAGGGGGCCTCCCCCTCGATGCCCACCTGCAAAAAGGGACAAAGCAGGAGCCCTTTAAGCAGGGCTTTCCAAATGGTGCACCAGGACACAGTCAAAACCCTCCCAACAGACTGCTGTCCAATTCAAGAACATCCAGAGAAGACTCCACAAGACTCCCAGGCAGTCTATACTTCCCTAGTCTGAAGGGACCCCCAAAGGACATCTAGTCCATCCCTTCTGCCATTAAAGACACATCGAAGCTCTCCCAATAGACGAGCATCCAGCCTCAGTTCCAAAACCTTCAGAGAGATTCAGTCCTGACAGATGGGAAGCACTGGTGCTGTTCAAATGTAGGGACTGTTGTGTTTATAATTTGCACAATTTGTGGATGGAGTTGCAATAATGACCACTAAATTGGATATGTTTCTAATAATGATGATGATGATGATGTAGGTATGTGTTAGGTTAGTATGTGTATGTTAATGTAAGCATTATTATTTAATTCTTCCTAATTAATAATGTAGGTATTTGTCAGATTAATCTGTTTGTACGTTAGTATGTGTATGTTAATGTATATCTTTATTATTTATTAAAAATATGTAGTTATATGTTAGTGTGCTTGTAGGTTGATGTAGGCATTATTTTAGTAATTGTAATAACATGTACCTACATGTTATTACAATTACTAAATGTGTATGTTAATGAAAGCATTACTGTTTTATTATTTTGAGTAATAATATTGGCATATGTCTGTCTATTTAGATTTAGTTTCATCATATGCAGCAGCAGCTAGTTAGCTGCTTAGTTTTAGTCACATACACACATATAATAAAACCTGCTCTTTTTTGGTTCTATTTCTGTTTTCTTTATCTCTGAATCAAAATGAGAGAAAATGAAAGGCAAGAGAGAGGAACAGTGGACACCCTCGGAATTCCAAAAGCTCTCCTTTCTTCCTTTGGGGCAGCAGTTTCTACTTCATAGTCAAGCCAGACAATGCTGCTAGTTTGGGTCCTGTGCTCTTTGGCCACTCTCTTTACCCTCTTTGGATGCCATATAACTCTATGGGAAACTTCTCTACTACTCCGGCCATCTTTTCCACTAAAAGAACACTTTCTACTTTCTGCTTATCCTTACTTGGTTCAGGAAGATGCAATGCGGGATTGTGATGTTCCCGACCAGGAGGCAGTTCACCAGCCGCAGTTTCTCTGGCAAAACTGGGGTCAGGAGCTGATAGAGCTGCTTCTCTACATCGATGCCTCGGATGATGCCTAAAGAATGGGAAATGATAGCAACCACAGAACCTCCAATCCCTCCCGACAGATAACCATCCAGTCCAGATAAAGAGGTAGAATCGTAGATTACTGGAGTTGGAGGGGACTCTCAAAAGCAATCTAGTCCAACCCATTTTGCCAGGCAGGAAGGCACAATCAAAGCCCTCCAAACAGATGGCTATTACTTTACTTGATGAGTCTTATCAGAGAATCCAAGAGTGGGAAACGACCCCAAGGGACGATCCAGTCCAACCCCCTTCTGCCAGAAAAAATACACCATCTGATCCCTCTCAACAAATGGCGATCCAGCCTCCATTTAGACCCCCAGAGAAGGAGACAGATTAATAGATAGAATCAAAGAATCCTGGAGTTGGGAGGCATCCCACCCAGTTCTGGCAAGGTATAAAGGCACAATCTGAGCCCTCCCGAGAAATGGACACTCAGCGTCTGATTCCTTCTGATTCAGAAGGAGATAGACAGACGGAATCATWGATTGCTGGAGTTGAGAGAGACCCTAAAGGAAGACACAATCTGATCACTTCTGACAGAGGCCCCCAGGCTTTGCTTGAGAGAAGATAGAGGGGGGGGGGGGGTGAATAATGGAATTCTGCAATTGGGAAGGAACATCAAAAGCCATCCAGTCAGTTTCTGCCAGGAAGAAAGGCACAATCTGATCCCTCCCAACAGATGGCCATCCAGCCTCCATTTAAAGACTCCCAGAGGAAGAAACAGATTGATAGAATAGAATCCTGGAGTTGGGAGGGATTTCCAAAGGCCATCCAGTCCAACCCATTTCTGGCAGAAAGGAAGGCACAATCCAAGCTTTCCTGGCGGATGGCTATCCAGTCTCTATTTCCAAACCTCCAGAGGTGATAGAGAGACATACAGAAAGAATAATAGATTGCTGGAGCTGAAAGAGACCCCAAAGGCACAGTCTTATCCCTCTCTACAGATAGACATCTAGCCTCTGCTTTAAAAACTCCACTGGGCTTCATATTCCACTACTGAACAGCTCCAAACATCAAGAAGTCCTTCCCCATAAAGTTTAAGGGGAATCCCCTTTCCTGCCCCTGCCTATTGCTCTATTTGCAAAAGGTCCTCAGACAGTCTTTGAGGAGGAAGCGAACTGCTCACCGAAGCCCAGGCAGTCGCAGATGGGGGTCTGCGTCAGCAGGATGGGGCCGTCCAGCTGCGAAGGCACCCCCTCCAGCATCCGGCCAAGGCCCACCCAGCTGGCATTCAGGGCACACAGGGTGTGGGAGGGGGCGACCTCTGCATGGATGATCCTCAGGGCCACGGCCGAGAAGGGCACCTGTGGAGACAACCCCAAGGAAATAGTTCTAAGCCATTAAGCAAACCCCCGCTCCCAAGGTGAGCAGAGAGGCTC